ACATGCCAACAGAACTCAGTTGCGAAGCATACTCGAATACTTAAGTTATGAAACCACTTTAGTTAACATATAACTCTGTAAAGAATTTCTTATTTGTGCTACAAATTAGCTTAAATATTCTTACACTTTCACACAAAAGAACCCAATGAATTAAAATCTTGTACTTTCAGTTTGGAATACCTCAAAAGGCTATAGTAGCAGAGTCAATCTGGATTTAAGATTCAGCCAGAAATCTGAGAAAATGTCAACTCTGACAATCAGACAAGACATAATTCGCTCAGCTGTTTCACTTTCTCTAATATACAATTTGAGCTTCTTAGAGATTTGCTTTGCATAGGCACAACTTAAGAAGCTACCCTCGCAGCGACGACCATAGCTTGATAATTATCAGGCATAGGCATAAATAAGTACAGAGCTCTGGCTATTTCTTGTGTTTCGAGTTTCTGCTGGTCTTGATCGTGGTCTGGGTCTTGCCATGGTTGCGCTTCAGCGATCCGCGCCACGCCCACACGCCCTCTGGGAAAACAGTCGCAAATGCAGTTGCAGTTGCAGTTGCAGTTGTTGCTCTTATTGAATTGCGAACAGAAGCCCTTGCAGCTTGGACACGCAAATTGTGCATATTATATATATTATACATACGACTATATACACACATATATATATATATGTATGTATATATACCTAGAGTTGGTTGAATGATCTTCATGCTTGGCTGCAAGAATTGTTGCTGTTGCGCTCTTCTCACGCTGCAACAAATTTAGTGGCAAGTGCCAATGGCATTTGTAGCAAGAACTCTCTCCCTCTCTCTCTCTCTCTCTCTCTCTCTATACCCAACTGCCCGATCTTCTCCTAGCTACGATCATCGAGTCGCCAGATAATTAGGCATTAATGCTAAATTAGATTAATGATGGAGCCCCCTCACACATTAGAGACCCGAATTAGGGTACAGCTGCGACGGGAACATGGAACGTGTCGTGTAGTTCCTGCCTCTCGACCTGCCAACACGCAAGCCCCAGAGCGACAGCTACGAATCAAAGCAGCCAACATGCTGATGAAGTTCTAAGCTAAGCCAGCTATGGTAATTAGTGAGGCTGACTAATGACTGCCTTGTTTCAGCTCCCCAGCCCAAGGAAGTTCACTCGAAATGGCACAGTGTCAAAAAGATCTTGTCTACACAGAGATCCACAGTCTCAGTCTCAGTCTCAGTCCCAGCCTCAACCTCAACCACAACCACAGTCAGATCTACTGATTCGAGTACCTGCGGTCGGCAGCAGGTGTTTGCAGCACCCCACACAAGTCTCCAATTCAAGGTCTTGGCGCTTTGCAAAATCTGTGTCAAAACTCATAATCACGAATTCATGAGTTTGTCAAGTGGGATTATGAATTAGTCAAACCACACATAACTTGGCTTCGTTAGACACGACTGCAGGCCAAATCAACTCTTTCTTCTCCCTCGTTCGCATTCACGTTTCGAATCAATGGCTTGAGCTGTGTTCACGTGCGGAATCAGTCGCTCCATCTGTGTTCACGTTTGGAATCAATAACTTTGAATTGTTTTTCTTAATTTTAAATCAGAATTGATTTCTTCTCAATGTTCTCTATAATCTCTTACAATCTATCTGCCTCTATCCCTATCTTTATCAATCTCTATCTCTCTTAAATTTCATTTTTGTTTCTCTCTCTTTTTATTTGGTATACCTCTCTAGCTCTTTCTTTCTCTCTCTCTCTCGACATAGAGAGAGTTAGTATATTTATTTATGTTTCTCTGCTTTTCCAGTCCCTCTCTTTGTCTGCCTCTTCCTTACACTTTCTGTGCATTTCTTTGTCTCTCTTTATACCTTTCTGTCTCTCTCTGCTACCTCTCGCCTTATAGCTCTCTTTATATCTCCTTATCTATATTTCTCTATATCTCTCTCTACCCTTCTGTCTCTCCTGCTTTCTCTATCATCTTCTCTCTCTCCCTTTCTATGTCCTTATTTCTATATCCATCGCTCTTTCCTATCTCCTTTATCAAGCCTTGTCTCTATCTGTATAGCTTTACTCTCCCTCTCTTCGCCTTTCCCTCTCTCTCTCTCTGTCTTTACTCTCCCTCTATCGCTCTTTGTCTGTCTATCACTCTGCCTGTCTAGCCTCTGCCTGCCTCTATACATGTCTTTCTCTCTCTCTGTCCCTCTCTGTGCTTCTTCACATACTCTTGAACTCTCTCTCTCTCGCTCCCTTTTCTCTTACGCTTCACCCTCTGCCTCTTGATCTCTGAATTCCCTCTCTCCCTCTCTATCTTCCTCATCTCTCTCTGTATTCTCCCTCTCTCTCACTTTTTTTTCCCTCTGTCTCTCCCTCTTCCCATACGTCTCTGTTGCCCTCTCTCGCTCTCTTCTCCCTCTCCTTTCACCCTCTCCCTCTCCATCGCCGATCTCCCTCTGTATCTTTCTCTCTCTCTTTACTCTCTCTCTCTTTACTGTCCCTCTCTCTCTTTCTCTTTATTCTTCTTCTCCCTCTCTTTACTCTCCCTCTTTTCGTCTGCCTCTCCCCTTTCCCATACGTCTCTCTTGCCCGCCCGCCCTGTGATCGTCACTCTCTCTCCATCGTCTTCCCATGAGCCTCTCTCACCCTCTCGCACTCTCTTTTTCCATCCCCCTCACCCTCTGCCTCTAGATCTCCGATCTCCCTCTCTGTTCGTCATTCTTCCCTTACTCCCTCCTTCTCCCCCTCTGCCTCTTCCCTTATCTTTCCACCTCGAGACATGGCCAAGCACTGAAATCTTGTGCCGCATTTGTAAGATACAAATTGTGTTGAGTGTGCGCGCTGCTGCGTCTATGACAAACTATGAATGCTTTGTCTTTGTCTTTGTCTTTGTTTTTATGCGCTTTCAGAGGCAGCCGCCGCAAAAAACAACAAGTGAAAAGCACAAAGGCAACAGATGCCGCCGCATTAGGTAATGTGATCTATGCAGACAACAGCAGCAGCCGCTCTGTGGTTGTATCTGTGAGATACATGGTGAAGGCTGTGTATCTGTAGCCGTGTATCTGTGTATCTGCCTATCGAATGCATATCTTTGTCTCGAGTGTTGTGTGCGCATCTGAGCGAGTGCGATAAAAATCTGCAGCGCCGAAAGTGCGTGTTGCTGATGAAAGTTGCAACTGCCTGCGGCCTGTGGTTGCAACTGTTGCCCTAACGGAACACTGCCTTGCAGCACATTTGCATGTCATTAAGAAGCATCAAGCAGAGAGGCAGAGGAGTCTCTCTAGCGACGTAATGTGGCTAAGTATCGTCAAGTCATATTCATATTCAATGGGAGCATATCAAGCAGAGCTGAGAGCTAATTAAACTGACTCAACGAGACGCGCTACAAAACTGTAACATGCCAAAGTAGTTAAAGCCGACGAACCGAAAATTGCGAACTGACTCCAGTTCGAGAACCCAAGACCAGCTCAACTCCCTCTGCCTCGGCTGGCAATTGTCTTTGCCCAACGTTGCGGAACGCAAATTAAAGTGACTTTGAAGTGCCAGAGCTCAGTTGGGCTCAGACGACTGTCAACTTGCCACAATCTTCGAGTCGCGCTCGGGTTCAGAGTGCAAACCCAACCACTGAGCTCTTATTAACTAGCTAAGCTGAGAATCTGAAATGAAGAAGAAGATTCTGGCCTAAACCAGCCAAGCCATTAAATGCTGTAGGCGAGGCTTTATCTAAGCAGAGGGCATTTCCATCTCTGAGTATCTGACATAGCTGAAATGCTAACACTAAATGTGTGGGAGTCTTTGAGTGTTGAGTGTAACTGGCATAGCCAAGATACTAGAACAGAAGCCACAGAGTGGATATCTCTACAATCTCAATATCTCTCTAATATATCGTATCTTTTTTGCACCCGATTTTAGCTAACTTCAGAAAGAGCGTATCTCTATAACCTCAACTGTAATCTTATATCTCCACAAAGATCTTTTATATAGTGTATTAGAGATGCTAAAACTGAATGAAAAGATCTACCAAGCCATGCAGCTATTAGTATCTAAGTTATCATAGACTCTATAACGGAAATAAAGAACCTTTTTAGCCAAAGAGCTAATAGTAAACGAGATGGTATTTCTATAGCAAATATGTCAAGCAACCCAAAGTAAACTGTGTTGTTATTATTTAACTTGGCAGGAATCAAACTTAAAGAGAGAGTATCTCAAGCTACTATTAGTCTTACCATTTATCATATATATAAAGTCCGACATACTTTCGATCCTTAAACTGAATGAGAAGTTCTGCCAATCCACTGAGCTGTCAGTAACTGGCATAGCAGGAATAGCAGTAAATAGAGAATCTCTCTAATCACTTAGCTGTTAGAGCACAGCAAAAATCTTTAATACAAAAAGCTGTCTTATCTCTAAAGAAACCAAAACCGAAGCAGCAATATCTCTATGCACTAGCTATATATATATATATATATATATATACATACTAAAAAGCAAAGCAAAGATCTTCTATCTAAGACCAAAACTCTTTTATCTGGAAACTGCAAAAGAAATCTTTTGAATTGAACTATGAGTGAATTATATATATATATATATATATATATATATATATATATATATATATATGTGAATAATATATATATATATATATATTGATTTATATATATAACCAGTCAAGTTGATATACTAAAAACTGATCTTCATCTGTCTAAGCCTTCTCTTCATACAATTAGCTAGACTAGCAGAGATTGTATAACTAAAATGTAATATATCTTTTTATATATCTATATATATCTATATCCATCTTTATTTATATCTTTATATATATCTATATCCATATATGCCCTACATAGCCTTAAGCTTATTAGATGTTTCAGTTCATCTAAGATGCTGCATTCGTAAGTGATCTTCTATACATTAAGATCTCAAAGCTGTAAATAGAGTGCGTTCAGCTTCCCATTAAGCGCTTCTCATCAAATATTTTCGTATGCCCAACTGATATTATACACTCAATCCTAATCCAGTTTTCTCTCTACCCACAGACACCCCTCGAATATTTAATTGTAATATGGACACCGGAAGCGTGGTTAGTGAGCCGATTTCCGCGCATCATCGCGCCTTTGCCAAACAGAAATCGGCCTCAATGGTAAGTTCATGCTTTAGTTCAAGTCGTAGTAAATATTATAAATCATGCACATAGCGCCCTATTGTCTAATTCGATGATATAAGCGCGCCAGCAACTAATTAGCCTTAGACACGCATGCGAAGCCCCGATTGCCATATAGCCACATATCAGAGCCCGGCTCAACTCAGCTCAGCTCAGCTCAGCATCAGATACTTTACATAATTTCACGCTAGAAAGTTGTTCGAATTGAAATTCAGCAACAAAAATACAAGTACAACATGCAATGCGATCAGCAAATAGTGGATATATATCTAATACATGTATATATATGTCTGTCTAAGCCACTCGATCTCTATCGAGAGTGTTGAATACAGCCATTAAATTGTTAATGCATCGTAATGCATTTTTAAGCAACACTTTCCCAACAGATCTTCAAAATTGTTAATCATTCGCCAAAGCAGCTGAAGAAGCTTCAAATTCGTATTATCTGTTTGTTCACACCTCGAGCGGCTACAATCGAAATTTTCACAATTTACGATTTTATCTTTGTCATTCAGCATAATGAGTCGAGGCATAATGGCAGATATAGTTATATAACAGTACTAGACTTAGAAGTTCCAAGTAAAATGTTAACACTTGAGAAGAGTTCTCGATTTCTATGTTATCAAATGTTGCACTAATTTATATATATATAGAGTTATATATATATATATATGAATGATATCATAGAGCTGTCGTATTCCTCACTGTGCCCTCTCCTCTAGTGTTCTTCACGCTTCGTTAGTTATACTGCCTAGGCACCACCTCAAAGAGACGCTCACAATGGTATACGTATATTTCAAATATCCAATTTTTTGTTATCTACTCTGAGTCATATCATAGATAGATTATTTACACAAAATATTATTACATATTTTATTATTATTATATTTTTTTAAAAATGAAATATTAAAGTTATTCTTCAATATATAAATATGGGTTGGTACATATATACTAAGTACTATACTACAACTACACTAAGTACTATAGCTAACACAAGCATACAAAGCTTCACTGTGTGCCAAGCTTCAAGCTCCAATAGTGCATAGCAAAGCCAATATGCTCATTTGCCTGTTAAATGAAAAAATATCAAAATCTTAACAGAATATCTCAGCAAATGTTTCGTGTATTAAAATGTTGGCAACTTTTAAAATTTATGCCTCATCACGATGAGTAACAAAATATTTGACAAATTATTTGATGTTGGCTTTCAGTTGGTACACAGCAGAGTAAAGCTGTTAAGTTGCATGTAAGAGCTGTTAAGCAGCGCTGTAAACGAGCTTAGCATAAACAGCGCATGCTAAGCAAATAATTGAAAGCAGTACAAAGCAGTGCAAAGCAGCAGCAAGCAGTAAGCTGTCATATGTTAAGCAATATTGATTGAAATATGATTTTAGCATACAAAATATTTCTAAAAACATAAATAATAATTTATAATATAATACATACATATACAATAGCTTTGGTAATATCTTTAATAGACGCAATTATTACGCCCACAATATCAAATTCAGTTGGCTGATAATAATATCTGCAGGTAGCTATAAAAACTTGGCTTATATTACCAACAGATAACGAGTATATTTCCGTTAAAGAAAAAGCACACATGGTTGACTTTCCATATACACCCATAGACATGGTTAAAAAAATAAATAAATGGTTGAGCAGTCATCCATATAACTGAAAAAGAAACAACTGTAAAAAAGTCTTCTATTGAAACACTTTCACTCGCAGCCAAAAGATTGAAAGCAAAAGCAATTTCTTTGGCTATTTAGCATTGATGAGGGCCGTTCAATGGGCGGCGCATTGGTTATAAGAAACAAATTTGGAAATGAAGTAATACTTAAAAGATACCTACATCTATATACCCATACCCATATGGAAGTCAATGAACTTTGCCGATTGTGGAGAGAAAACAATAATAGCACCACCAGAACCTTTATGCAATTTCTTGAGTTTTTCATTCTATTTTTTTTATATAAAGAAAAATTTATATTATGAATTCCCAACTTGCCAAGGTGCTCTAGGGTTTTCCCCTCAGATAACTTAAATTGCTTGTGTGCGGTGCTATTTTATTTTTCGCAGCTGTACGATATTACGTCTTATCCAATTTAACACCCCTCGTAGTAATTCACACCCTTTCGATGACGATATACGGTCAATTAATTTCTTCCACAAAATTACATCAATTATTCAACAACTCAACATTAGAGCAAGAAACAAGTAAATGTGGTTCAAAGTTGCAACTGTTGAGAATTTATTGTAATTTAGGAAAAGTAAAAAACCAACCAGGAAGTTCTCACGTTCAGACTGGACATGGTCCGGTCCTTTGAGACCATTACAAGATAGGGGTTCATATTCATATTTGTAATTATTTGTAAGTAAGTGCATTTGGTGGTTGTTTCTGCGAGTGCATTCGAGAATTGTCGTAACGATCTTTTGCCGGTTTCTTAGTGCTGCTTTTGCTTTGTTGTTTGTTTCGTTAAGTTTGGCTGCCGCTGGGCACGTACTCGCAGCCGAAAAGCTTTTATTGCGTCACTGACAGAAGCAACAGGTTAAGCGAGCTTCGTATTATGGCACCAACACATAAAAGCTCGCTGCTGCTATGCAAAGCTTTCAGTTGACGAAAGAACCTACGCGTGCCAACAACAGCTGTTTTATTGCGACAGCTTTCTTAACTTATCGTACGCAATTTGTTTGTGAGTTGTGCCTTTCTTAAGAAATGTTTGTAAACGAATATATCGTTTATTGTCCGCAAAAAAATGTGTTTATGCTTGTAATATAAAGCCACAATTGTGCTGTGAATACAAAACACTTAACAGAAATATCACACGTCATGTATACACACGCACTGAAATATAGTGCTCTATTAGCGATTCATTAAATGGAATCAACCTTAAAGCTAGCTAATCTAGCTATATTTGGTATATAATCGTTTGCAAACATTTCGCTAATTTATCTATACACAGTTCGATTTCAATACACATGTGCTTATCTCTATACAATTAACAGAAATAAACATATGACGATTTGCTCAATAACAGCGCGGCCGGCATAACAACAATAAACCAGCAAAGCTTTAAGCGTTTGCTTAAGCTACAGCAACAAAGCACACATAATACACACACACAAACAAAGACGAGTGCACACACGCCTCGCCAGTGAATTGTTATTGTAACCGAACCCGAATTGCTCTTTCCACACACAGACATAAATTCAAGCTCACGAACGCCTCGCTTGTGACTTGTTATTGTAGCCGAAACCGAACTTCTCTTCCCCACCGTTTCACGCACGACCGTGACTTGCCGAACTCCAGTGAAATGAGAATCGCAAGTGTCAGTCTGCTTTCAGCTTTCGCTCGGCTGCCTTCGTTGATTCGTGCTAGCGCAACAGCCCAGTTACCTGCCTCTGTTCCAATTAAAAGCTACTGCGCAGCTATTTCACCACGATCGCTACACAGTCAATCAGCTGCAATGACTCTGCCTGAGCGCAAGCCCTTCACAGCGGATTTCTTCTTTCGGCAAGTGCGTAAATGCGTTAAGTGTGCGTCTTGGCAGTGTCTCTAATGAAAGTCTCCAACAGCTGTTTGATACAGAGAGCAGCACCTATAGCTACCTTCTGGCCGATGCAAGCTCCGGCGAAGCCGTCATCATAGACCCCGTGCTGGAGCAGGCCAAGCGCGATGCGCAGCTCGTTAAAGATCTCGGCTTCAAGCTGAAATATGCGAGTAAGTGACCGTGAGGTGAATTCATCGAGCAGCTGACCACAAAACCCACCAATTGATTTCCCCTCAGTCAACACACATATGCACGCCGACCACATAACGGGCAGCGGCTGGCTGCGTCAGCTAACGGGCTGCCAGTCGGTCATTGCAGCGGCCAGTGGAGCCAAGGCGGATCGGCATATCGCGGAGGGCGACCGCATCGAGTTCGGTCGCCATTCGATCGATACGCTGGCCACGCCTGGCCACACTAACGGCTGCATGAGCTACGTTATCAAGGAGCAGGGCTGCGTCTTCACCGGCGACACGCTGCTGATCCGCGGATGCGGACGCACCGATTTCCAGGAAGGCAGCCCGAAGAGTCTCTATGAGAATGTGCACGCCAAGATCTTTAGCTTGCCGGAGAACTATCGCATCTATCCGGCGCACGACTACAAGTGAGTTAACGGCGCTTTGCAATGTGCCCTTGCCAGCCGGATAATGCGTGTGCTTGTGCTTACAGAGGTCAGCTCGAGAGCAGCGTGTGGGAGGAGAAGCGCTACAACCCGCGACTCACCAAGAGCATCGATCAGTTCATCGAGATCATGGAAAATCTCAATTTGCCGTATCCCAAGAAAATCGGTAAACCAATCGAATCTTATAAATTCCGACCCACAGCAAACTCATGGGTATTTCTTTTAGATGCCTCGCTGCCTGCCAATCGGGAGTGTGGCGTATACGACATACCCAAGGAGTAGCACGGGAGAGCCGCGCTGTATATACCAAATATACACGGACAACTCTACAAGGGGAAAGGAACCGCTCAACAACTGTCTAGGCTAACGTCTACTATATATACGCTATATATTTCTACTATATATATATATACGCTATATATTTCTACTATATCTATATATACTTCGACTGCAATACACACTTATTTTACTAATTTCCTTCGTAAATACCTATTATGTATTAAACTGTACATGAAATTACTAATAAATATCTGGAATATATCTATATATAATTGCCTCATTTTAAATAAACGCTTCCCGCAAAGGTAAGCCTATTTGAGCTATAGTCAGTACTTTGACTAGAAATATTACCCAATGGACCTAGGTTCACTAAGTGGTACATTATTAGGACGCCACCCGCAACCATCCGATAACTGCTTATCGTGCGGGCCTCTTATCAAATATTTATAATAATAACTACTATCGCTTGCTTGGTCAAAAATCAAGTTGTGGTTGGGGGATTGGCTGGGGTCGGATTGTCTATGTACTGCTTGACATTGTATTCACATTAAATTTAATCGATATTAATTATAATTATTAGGCACACTAGCAGCTGACCTAGGCAAAGGCCGAATGAACTCACAGCTAATAAAAAACCAACAATTTAATAACTTTTTTAACCTCTCCCAGCGGACGACTGTTACGACCCTTGAGCCTTAAGGGCAAACTAAGCCTGTAAAACTTCCTTTGACTATTTCCTAGTTGTGTGCAGAGCGCACTTCGAAGTTGTTTACACAGTGCAAGGAAGAGCATATTGGTTTTGCTTAAAATACTCTGTTTCAGAGGAAGAAAAGTTTCCTATTTGCTGGATACTCTAAAAGGGTTTGCTCTTAAGATGCCACGCCTATAGGAAAACGTTTTTATATTTACCTGACTTTGCTTTAAGCCAAACATCACAGTTTTAGAGCTCTGAGTATATTAGATTGATTGCTATAGAGTTCCTAGTGGAGCTCCTAAGAGTTTTTAATGGAGCTCCTATAGAGTTCCTAGTGGAGCTTCTATAGAGTTCCTAGTGAAGCTCCTATAGAGTTCCTAGTGGAGCTCCTAAGAGTTTTTAATGGAGCTCCTATAGAGTTCCTAGTGGAGCTCCTATAGAGTTCAAGTGCAGCTCCTATAGAGTTCCTATAGAGTTGCTAGTGGAGCTCCTATAGAGTTCCTAGTGGAGCTCCTATAGAGTTCCTAGTGGAGTTCCTATAGAGTTCCTAGTGGAGTTCCTAGTGGAGCTCCTATAGAGTTCCTAGTGGAGTTCCTATAGAGTTCCTAGTGGAGCTCCTATGGAGTTCCTAGTGGAGCTCCTATAGAGTTCCTATAGAGTTCCTATAGAGTTCCTAGTGAAGCGCCTAAAGAGTTCCTCTCTTAGGATTGATCAGTGCAGTGTAATTCCTATTTTTATTTAAATTTGAACGAGTATTAAGCAAAGGCTTACACCCGACTGCGCTGTTCTAACTTGCTGAGACCTTCTTAAAGTTCTCTTTAAAAATATCTTATTCAACTAGATTAAGTCTAGCCATGATCTACTATAACATTAAAGCAGAAGATCAAGTAGTATCTATTGATCTAAGATAGATCACAAGATAAGGTTATTTTAATATATGACGAATAGTGATCGGATCAGGATCAGCATCAGATCACGTGCTCTTGATCAATTCCAATTTAGAAATTAAATTTTAATTCGCATTAATTCCATGTCCACTTTCTCCACATCTTTCAGACTATACTCAACCCAAAGAGCTGCGCCAGTGCGGCCAAGTACAGTCTGCACTCGGCGTCAGAGAACAATCACGAGACGCAGCTGCATTTGAGCAGCGCCTCGTCGCATTGCTCCACGACGGGCAGGAGGCGCAAGGGCGGATCTCTGGGCGGAACGCTCTCCTCTCGCTCCACACGCAGCGAGTCGAAGGAGCTGCGCTCCGCTCTGCAGGATCGCGAGGCGGTCATACAGAACTTACGCATTCAGCTGTGTCTGGGCAAGCTGCCACGCCCCAGTGGACCGCCCCTCGATGAGTCGGAGAAGCCAGCGGCGGAGCATAAGCTGAATCGGCTGAAGGCCGAGGCGGAGAACAAACGCATCAAAATCAAGAACTTGAAGAGCGCGCTGGAGAAGCTGGACATCACAGAGTAAGTGCATAGAGCCCATGCATCCTCAACAGCCAGCTGACCACCACCTCCCCCTTCCTTAGCAACATAGATATACGAATCCGCCAGGCGGAGCTGGAGTATGCGCTGGGTCGTGAGGAGCTGCAGATGCTCTCGATTGTGGAGGAAGCGCGTGCGCTGCAGGCTCGCTTGGAGAAGTCCAAGCCGGAGGCGCAGACCCTCTACAACATCATCAGCTCCGGCGTAACATTGAGTCTGCACGCCGTGCACGCTACGTCCGGACGCTGGGCGGCCCAGCAGCGGCCCGATCAGCCGGGCTTCTTCGTGGAGTGGGCGCTCGAGGGCGACGGACTGTACAAGGGCGATCGCATCCTGGAGATCAACGGACGACTCGTGACTAGCAAGACCAAAGAGGAGCTGCAGAAGCACGTGGGCAACTCGGGCAAATGCCAGATGGTTGTGCTGCGCAAGAAGTCTGTGCCCATACCACAGAAGCAGCTGGACCAGGAGAAGGAGAACAATATGCGTCTGCAGCATCGCATCTCCTACCTGGAGGAACAAGTGCGCGAGCTGCAGACGGTGAAGGAGCAACAGCAGCATCAGCACGCCCAGCAACAACAGGCGAAGCCACAACTGTCCGCCCAATCGAATAGCGCCCATGTCACAAGCATTAGTATATCGTCGCCACCGTCGCCCTCGACGCCGCCGGACAAGCCGCTGATCTTCCAGAGGGGCAACTACATCACCACGCTCGTGGGCGGCAAGCCGATCGAGCTGGTGGGCGATGAGCTGCTGCCGCCGTCGCACGTCACCAAGACCCTGATCAAGGAGAACACACACATCGATCTGCGCGAGCGCCTGCCCCAGGCGCATCTCTATGCGATGCCATCCAAGTCGCTCTCCGCCTCCAAGATATCCATCAACAGCGACTCCGCCTACATGCAGCAGCCCCAGAAGCGCGAGAAGGAGCGACAGCGCGACCGATACGAGCGCAACAGGGAGAGGGACAGACCGAGGGACGCACTGCAGCAGCAGCAGCAGCTACACAGGGAGCACATCATGAGCGCGCATGCGCGCAGCGTGGAGCACCTCAATCAATACAATGGGTAAGAGACTAGCAGCAGACGACGACACACACACACGTGTCTATATACTAACTGAACTATCCCCTTTGTTACACGATTTCAGTCTGGAGCGACGACGCGACACGCCACGCCAGAACGAGGCGCAGACCCTGCGAGCCGCTCGCCCGCCCAGCGATGTGCGCAGCGTGAAGTCGCTCGACTTTGACAGCGAAAACGAATCGAAGCCCGCGACGGGCAGCCGCGCCGTCCATCGTCCCACGCCGCCCAAGAAGCCGCTGCGTCTGTCGCTGCAGCGCGCACAGAGCCTGCAGACTGTGGAGCTGAATCCCTGCTCGGAGCACGTGGATCGCAAGCGGCCCATGAAGCGCGTCCATCACAATAGCAGCGCCAGCGGCGGCTCCTCGCCCAGCGAGGAGAATCAGAGCCAGAGCCAGAGCCAGGCACAGGCTCAAGGCAGTCCCATGCACACAGCCTCGCTGGGCAGGCACAAGCTCATCTGAGCCACAAACCCGATCGGACTTAGGCTATCTTTCTATATATATACTTTTCTGGGCAAGCAGCTGCTCTGCAGCTGGAGACCCCAACAGGCGGACATGTGCAAAAGAAACCTAATTTAAAATGTAATTTGTGAAACTTTCTCATACACATATAACTGTAGCTATATCTATATCTGTATCTGTATCTATATCTAAATCATAAATACATATATGTATAACTAATCTACTTACCAGAGCTCATCATTTGGGGCTTGGTCGACGAGAGATTGTATCGAAACTCTATTAGCACAATTCTGTTCTGTAAATACACGAATGTTTGCACTCTGAATCAATGGATCTTTCTTATTTGTCGATTTGGAGAAGTTTTAGTGAACTTTAATACGTCAAGGCTTACTTGTAAACAAAAGACAATGTGATACATTACAAAATGTGGGTAGGTTGAGACTTTATATAAGTATCTAATATATAAATAGGGCTCAGATAAGATTAGTTTTCAGCTAAACATTTTTAACTACTTCACAATCTAAACACAATTTAGATTAGCATTCGATGCATTTCTTATTTCAATTTTTAAAAATAAAAAAATATATTCAAAGCAATATTTTGAGAGTATTGCAAAGGCGTTAGTAATAAGTTAGATAACAAAACTCTCAATTTGCAATTGCATCATTTTTAAGCATATTCTTAATATTGTAATTCCATAGTCAAGCGCACGATCATGTTGCTTCATTCATAACGTATTTGCATATGATAAGTATTTGAATGGAACTCACGTAGTCGTGTTTTAGCGCTCGCGTTGTGTAACATTCGAGTACTTGAATAAATATTATTGTTTTAGCATAACAGCATTGCAATACATGCAGTACTGATAAGCCAAAGGGAGAGAGAGAGAGAAATAATGTTAGATAAAATTCCAAAATCATGAAAAACTGCAATGGGAGAGTGTAATCTAAGAGCTGTAAGCAAAGCTGATGAGCGGGAGACAGAGAGAGTGAGAGTGAGAGTGAGGGTGCAAGGCGGGCGAGTGAGTTAACGAAAGCGCAGAGAGCGTATTCTAACTACTATAGACATAGCAGATAAATGTGTGCGAAAGAGAGGGAAGTGAGAGCGCATGGCAGGAGGTTGACTTAACGATAGCGCACGATCGCTGTTCGTGTCTTGCCTGCCATTGACGTCGGCATCAGCATTGGCGTCGACGTCGGCGTCGGCGTCGATGTTGGCGTTGGCGTTGGCATCACAAGTACTCTCAGACTCGACTTGCGCTAGCAATGCGAAATTTAAAATCAGTTGCTCGGCAGGTCTCCAAACCAAAGCTACGTTGCATTCCAATTAAGCGGTAAGATTTATATTGCTGTCAAATCAGTGTCTGTGCTATTAATTAATAAGTACGAAAAAAGCAGCTGTTAACTAGGTAAGTGAATATACAGCTATAATTTCAATAAAAACGACTTGTGTCGCTTTGACTGACAATAAATGCGGAAAATTCAATAAGTTATGGCTCACAAGCAGAACATGCTAAAAACTATAGTAACATTGTACTCAATTGAACAATTAGCAAAAACCTGTTTGCGCACAACTGCATACGGAGTTTAAATGATACCTTAATATTTTTGCGTTCAATGGTCCCGCGCCCTTGTATATGAGTTACAGTAACCTGTTATACACGCACACACACAGACGCCTATGGATATTTGTTTGTATCGCCCAAAAGCAGAATCGAAAAGAACAAGCAACAAGTTAAGCAGAGCTGCAATCGATACGTTGCTTTGCTTCTGTTTTGCTTTAGCCGAATTCGAAGTCAAATTCGAACAATTTCGTTTCTCTGTTTTACTTTAGTCAAACTCGAAAATATTTCGTTAAACGACGCTTTAAATTTAATATGCAGCTAAAAAAACAATTGATGTTGCCATCTGAGCAACAACAAGTTCGCATCGCACTTGAGCTCAGCTAAAACTGTCATTTAACTATCAACATCTAATTGTATGCTAATTAAAGTCTCTCTATAAAGCATATCTATTGTAGTTATCTATATGGGAACAGAGATTTCGTTTGTTAATTAGCATCTAAAATTCAGGGCCATTTCAAATTGTTATGAACAAGCAAAAGTTTTTATTTCATATATATTTATATCTTTCATAGATAGTTCAAAAAATGTTTTTTTTTTTTTTTAATATAAATCAAATTATATTAATAGCAAATCTAAATAAAATTCAATGCATCTCTTATAAATCCTGAATCTCTTTAGTATAAAATAATATTTGTTTAATTTGAAAAATGTGTAAAAATTTTGTAAGAACATTTTGTTTATATATACTTTTTCCATTCCTTTAAAAAGACTTCAGTTAGTATTAGAATATTTCATTTGATTAACTTACGAGCGATAAATATGTGTAGTATTTCCCATAGATTAGAAACAGCGCAAGTTAAATTGCAAATCATTTAGATTTGAGTAGCTACAGTAATCATTGCCTACTGACACTTTCCATTCATTCACCAAACGCATGGAGCTCATTATTCTTTCATCAATCAATCAACCTGGACATAAGCATATATTTATAAGTCCCGCCCGCCCTAATAATAGCTCTACGAATACGACAAATCGTTGGCAATTGTAGGCAATGCTATTCAGAGTGAAATTAAGTAAAACTGAGAACTAGGCATTTAGTGCACCCGAACAGCTAGACCGAACAGCAACAACTAAGCCTAAGACATATCTTATCCGTGCGAATATCGATTTGCGTGCCGACGGCCAGACTCAGGTATACGACGCCATAACTTCTTGACATGATCGTCAAAATTTACATTTAACAAAGATAAGCGCTACATAACGGAAGCCGAAATAGTTACTGTAATCGGGAGTGCGCAGCTAACAGATACCCTAACTGTACATAAGACTTATTCTTAAGTGTCTGTGGTATATTGTGAGCTTATATATAATTAATGTATATAACAGAACTGACATATTTTTTTATAATTTGGAGAAAAAACTATAAATTACAAACAAAATATAAAAATATAAAAAATATATTTTCTGGAATAAACTATAAATTACATATAATAAACTTTGATTTATGACATTAAAAATTGACATAAAAAATAATTCATTTTTTTATCAAATTGATTTATAGCATAGATCATGTTTCGTAGTAAAGGTAATCATAAGGCCAAGTAAGCCTCTGGGACCTCATAGTTCTGCCTATTCTGCCGGCTTTCAGTGAATACTTAAACAGACAAGAATACACCTAAATACATATTCCTATTCTCTAGCCGTACATGCCAACCAATATACTCTTGTTACAAACTGAACGAGCATAAGCACTCGAAAGTGCCATGCTCAAATATTTCTAGCCATAAACCACGCACATTCTACAGATATATTTTGAGTTGTTCCAATTTATAATGCGCACTCATAAATCCATTGAGAAGTGCGTACAAAAAAGAGATTGTTGCTTGTTGATTGTTGCTCGTTGCTCGTTGATTTGGCCTTGGCTCAAGCGACGCGTTGACTTGTTGGCCATCCGCACTTAACCCTGTGAAAAGGCTGTTTTCATTTGCCATTTGCCTGCGCATGGAATGCATGTATCACATGTGACTACATCTATATGGCATATGCAAAAGTGTGAGCTGGTATATAGAAATATATATCATATATATATATATGCATGACCCACAAATCGTAACGCAAACTGAGGTTAGGCGCTTCAATTCCGTACACACAAAAAATTAAATAAGTTCAAATTATTTGCACGAGCTGAGCGAACAGCTGATTGGCTTTAACAGAGATGCGCTAACTTAATATATATAAAAATATAAAAATATATATGTTGTAAAATTTAAATAAAAAATTAAATTTAGTATATACATTTTATATATTTTGTTTTATTATATTTTTTCAATATCAAAAACAAAATTTTATTTTTATACAATTAAAAAAAATTTTAACTTTTTTTCGAGCTATCTTTTGGCTGCTAATCAGATTGCTTTGACACAGAGCAATCATTTCAGAAATTCCAATTCAGATAAATCTTATCTATTGCATTTTAACTTTAATTAATTTACGCGTTTTTTTTTCTTCTCATTACGTTTATCTATAAAAAAAAAACAACAACTTTCGTGAAGTCCGTTAAAAAAATTGGAATTTATTGTTTTTTTTTTAATTTGTTGTTTTTATTTTTTAATTTAATCTATAAATTATACTTTCCGTTGCTTTTTTATCAACTATTTCTACTTTGAACATTTTTAAAAATTTAATTTAAATATTTCTTTGACAATTCTTTAAGAGTTCTTTAACAGCTTTAATTTAGTTGGATCAAACTCTGTATTTGATGAGTTTGATACAACTAAAAACTTTCCATTATATCTTATTTGCTATAAGAAATCAAATTTGATCTATAATTTTGCACTGAAAAATGTAACTTAAATTATTTATAAAGAATATTACTTAATTTATAGATAGATATTATATGTTCTATAATATTATTTATAATTATTTATTAATTTATTAAAAGAGAACTCAATATATATTTATATATATTTATATATATATATATATAATATTTATAAATAAAAACTATTATTAAAGTCTAAACTGATTTCAGTTACAACAGAAATCTTTTCTCGACACATATTAGCAAATAAATTCGAAACATTCCACTCGGTGCTGCTTTACATAGATCATCTCTGTTGCTAGTAAGCCCCAGCAATAAGCCGGATAATTTTGTGAGCTCGTGTATGACAGTAATCAAAGTGCGCTCGTCTCTCAATTGGATAAAAGCGAGCGATCAAAGTGTTGATTGAAGGTGAGAGAACAGTGAGAGGGAGGCAGGCAGGTATTCAGGCAGGCAGGCAGGCAGGCAGGTAGGCAGGGAGTAGCGCGGACATAGATCAAGGTAGCGCAATCGGACGACTCTCTGACGCAACATAAAATTAAAAATTAAAAATTAAAAATCGCAATCGCGATCAGTCGTTCGACCTGTAAAGACGTGAATTCGAACAGCCTTCGCTTAAGCTCTACTGCTGCAGAGTTCTAAAAATAGAACTTTGCGGTGCATTCTTCAACGCAACAGCAACAAAAACCGCACACGCAGCGTTTTCTTATCGCTTGCTTCCGCGTAACTCAATTGCTTTAATTGCAATTTACGAAATTTCGTCGCTTGGCGCGAGTGCGCCTGCACTCAAAAGCACAATCCGCGATGACATCTAATGTCAATAACCTCGCTACAGCTGTAAAGGTAAATGCAGAAATGCAAGCCCAGCTTAACGTTGTGATGGCAAATAGGCAAGCCTCCATCATGCCAATAAACTCAAAAATAGATATCGCCTCCGTGCAAGGCATCACTAACAACAAAAACACGAAACGTAAACAGCCAAATTCACCAAAAACCATCAAGAAAAGGCTCATCTTCGACGAACCAAGCACCAGCAATGCAGCATTAATATCAGAAAATCGATTTTCACTGCTCGTAGAAGAAGATGAAGACTACAGCGAATCACCTGTAGCTCCAGAAGCCCCAGTATTGACCGACCAGCAAACTACACCGAAACCTCGTCCGCCCCCCATATGGTGTCCAAACATCAAGTCTGTGGCCCTACTTCAACAGATAATAGATAAAGTAATTGATGCTAAATCATACGTAATTAAGCCAAAGAAGAATAACATAGGTGTATTAACCCAATGCAGTGAGGACTATCGCAGAGTTATAGACCACTTTACTAAGCTGGAATTGGAGTTCCACTGCTACCAGCTTAAGGAGGACAAACCATATAGAGTCGTGTTCAAAGGGCTTCACTCCAGCACTGATACAACACTAATTAAAAAGGAATTGGAAACCAAAGGCCACACAATTACAAATGTGCACAACCCACTGAGCCGTATGGACAAAACACCGCTAAATATATTTTTTGTTGACGTGGCTCAGGCCCCCAACAACAAAGAAATTTTGGACATTCGAGTTGTCTGCAGGCAACGCTGCACAGTGGAACTGCCAAGAAGATACAACGACCTGACACAATGCCATCGCTGTCAAGAATTTGGACACACACAACGCTACTGCCACAAAGCTCCCAGATGTGTGCGTTGCGCCGGGAAACACGCATCCAAAGACTGCACCCGCGAAAAGGACCAGGCACCAACTTGTGTGCACTGTGAGTTACAGCACCCAGCCAACTATAAGGGCTGCCAAGTATACAAGCGGTTGCGCAAATTGCAATCCCCAGCACAAAAAAGGAGTCCCACACAAACACCGTCTACGGGTCCGAGTACTGCTTCCGAAATTACAAGGCCCCGGAGCATTACCCAAGCCACGAGCTTTGCAACGCCTATTAGTGGTGTTTCTTACGCACAGGCCGCTAGAGGTGGACCGTCAAATAAGAATACCACAAGTGACACTTTGTTCACTGAAATGCTTCAGCAACAACAACGTCAGTTTGACGCAATTAATGCCGAGCTCAAAGCGATGCGAGAAGTACAATCCCAACAAGCAACCATGCTAAACAGTTTAATGGCCATCATAACCAAGCTTGCCTACAAATAATGGCTTTACGTGTGGGTATCTGGAACGCCAATGGCCTGAGAAACAAGACTCAGGAACTGGCTGCGTTTCTCTCACAAGAAAACATAGATATAATGTTAATAACAGAAACTCATGAGTGCCCCACTACACAAATTTTCGGATACGAACACTATCAGGCTCATGGTGAAGGAGCAAACTGCTTTGGTGGATCCTCAATCCTCATACGAGCAACAATACCGCATACACCTTTACTGCCAATTTGCAACGCAACAATGCAGGTCTCAGCCATCACCCTGCCTACGTCTATTGGAGCGATCGAAGTTGCGTCAATTTATCTTCCGCCAAACACTGGTCTGTGTGATCATCACATGGAACAGGTTCTAGGCCAAAGGTTGAATAAGACCCTCATCGGCGGCGACTGGAATGGATGGCACCCATTTTGGGGAAGCAATAGTGCGAATCGTCGCGGAGAAGTCATATTTGAGGCGATTCAAAACTTACAATTCAGCATATTGGCGACTGGAGCCCCCACCCGTTACCCAATTAATGGACACAGGCCCTCGGCAATCGACTTCGCTGTCTACAAAGGCATCTGTGACCGGCAATTGACCATTGAAGAATCCTTGGACCTATCCTCTGACCACCTGCCACTAATAGTCACAATCCACGCGCAGCCACAGCCCTTGCCCATTAGGAAACAACTACTGCCAGCAGGATCAGATTTAGGAGTCTTTAGGCGCGAGCTCCATTACTCTTTGCACATAGAAATGGAACTTAACACTCCTGAAGACGTGGACTACGCAGCAAACAAACTGCAGGAAGAAATAGTCAAAGCTGCGCACCAAGCCGCCCCACCATCTTGCCAAACAAGACAACAGTCTCCGTACAACATCCCCCTCACCTTGGAGGCCCAACACCTACTAATACACAAAAGATGGGCCAGGAGACGCTGGTTAAGATTACGCACGCCTGATGCCAAATCCATGTACAACGAAGCCACGAGGCATCTTAAAGCTGCTCTCGCCCTGCTTCAAAAGAGGTGTATCAGCGATGCGCTGGTACGAGCTGAATCGCCCACTGACGCAGAGTTTCAATTATGGAAATTTACAAGAAAGCTCAAACGGCAGCCAATACGACGTCATCCCATTCGGAGCATTTCTGGTTCCTGGCACATTGGAGACGAAGCTCAAGCTGAGGCTTTTGCAAACCACCTTCAAGACCAATTCACGCCGGTGATTACCGCAGAGGCCTCAGAAATCGAAGCAACAGAAGACATCGTTCTCTCGCCCCTCCCAGCTGAAGACCAGATAACTGGATGTACAAAAGAAGAGGTTCTTGAACACATCAGAAGAGTGAAGGCAAAAAAATCCCCTGGATATGATCTAATAAACGGCAGAGTCCTTAGAGCACTGCCTGACTCCACCATAGACTACATAACTATGGTGTACAACGCCATGCTCCGCATCCGGCACTTTCCAGCCTGCTGGAAGCGCGCCGTGATTGTGATGATTCCTAAGCCTGGCAAACCCGTGGGAGAAATTGAGTCGTACAGACCAATTAGCCTGTTGCCAGTACTCTCCAAAATATTCGAAAGAATATTTCTGGAACGAGTACTGACACATCTGGGACGCCAGGAGGCCATTCCAAACCATCAGTTTGGCTTCAGGAGACAGCATGGAACACCGGAACAGGTTCACAGAGTTGTGCACCATATCCTTGGAGCCTTTGAAGAAAAGATGTACTGCTCTGCCGTCTTTTTAGACATCAAACAGGCGTTTGATCGAGTTTGGCACCTGGGACTGCTGCAGAAAGTGAGGACCACCCTTCCAGCCCCATTTTTCGCGTTGCTATCCTCATACCTTATTGGAAGAACCTTCCAAGTGTCAAGGGGGCAAACAGTATCCTTGACTAGACCAATTATGGCTGGAGTACCACAGGGTAGTGTTCTAGGCCCAACACTTTATACTTTATTCACAGGAGATATGCCAACTCCCGAGCCAAATATAGGAAGTACAGATGCAGTACTCATAGCGACCTATGCAGATGACACCGCCATCTTATCACGTCACGTATCTGCGCAAGAAGCTTCAGACTCACTACAAAAATATCTGGACTCTTTCGGACGCTGGGCAAAACGGTGGTGTATCACCATTAATGCACAAAAGTCTGTACATACTACCTTCGCCACTAGAAGAGGAGATTGCCCAAGCGTTGCATTGGGGCCCACTATTCCCAAAGCCTCAAAAGTAAAGTACCTTGGTATCACTCTTGACAGAAGGCTGACTTTTAAAGCGCACATAAGTCAAGTAACCTCAAAATGCAAAAGCAAGCTAAAAACCCTCGACTGGATGCTGAGAGCTTCAAGCAAGTTGTCTTACAGCAGCAAGGCCGCCATCTACAAGGCAATAGTTGTCCCAACCTTCGTATATGGTATCTCTCTATGGGGCTCCTCGGCGAAGACTACAAGGAACAAAATTCAGACCCTGCAGAATAAAGCACTACGCAGATGGACTGGAGCCAGCTGGTTTGTAAGAAACTCAGTCTTACATAGGGATTTAGCAATTCCCACAGTTGCTGAACTCATTGGGCGACACAGTTCAAGATACGCGGACAGACTTGCAGCGCATCCTAACCATCTCGCAAGCAACCTGGCTATAAACAACAATAGGCGAAGACTGAAGAGATTGCATCCTCTAGACAATATTAGAACTAATTAAGATAGTAGCTACAAGTGCAGAATAATTGGCATATCTGCCCTCCCATTAGTTAAGGTTTAGAGCTAAATGCGCTATAGAGTCTAAGACAATAAGCTGCAACAAAATAAAGAAATAAAAACGAAAAAAAAAAAAAAAAAAAAAAAAAAAAAAAAAAAATTAAAATGAATTTGAATGTCTTTATGCTGCATTCTAAATCTAACAGCTTCTCACTTATGTTTTCCAGCTCAAGATGTTGCGCCTTCTCATCGTCACGTTGGCCGTGTGTGCCACGATCTGTGCCGCTGCACAAACTGTAAGTTTAGCTATAAATAGTAATATAAATAATAATAATAATATAAATTTTGGTTTGAAGCGCAACTCACCTATGGAGGCGATTGCACATTTGACTGGGCCACCGCAGTCGGACAACACGCAGGTGAAGGGAAATGTCACCTTCATTCAGAACGACTGCGGCCAGAGTGTGCATGTGCGCATCCAGCTGGAGAACGTCATGCAGGGCAAGCATGGCTTCCACATACACGAGAAGGGAGATCTGAGCAATGGCTGCACCAGCTTGGGCGGCCATTACAATCCCGACAAGGTGGACCATGGGGCGCCCCATCACGAGGTGCGTCACGTGGGCGATCTGGGCAACATTGAGGTGAACGCCAGCCGGATTATCGACATCACCTACACAGACTCTGTGATTAGCCTGAGCGGCAAGCGCACCATCATCGGACGCAGCGTTGTGCTGCACGAGCTGGAGGACGATCTCGGCCTGGGCAACCACACGGACTCCAAGAAGACGGGCAACGCTGGCGGCCGCATCGGTGCGTATATCAAAACATTGTTAACTAATCCCATATTAAATAATCACCGATTTTCTCTTTTCAGCTTGCGGTGTAATTGGCATTAAGTAAATATGTGAACAATGTTAAAGCTACAAATTCAATTGCTGTCTTTTTATATCAAACAAAAAACATAACTTTTCTCATTCGCGTTAGCTAATAAATAACTTTTCACAATGTGTGTGTCTCTTAACTGCTAACTGTAACTGTCCTATGCACGACTACTCATCACTGACCGTCCTTGTTCTCTCGTATATTTGTTATACAGGCTTTAGTGAGCGTCTAATCATCATATATATTTGTAATACTTTCGCAAATTTCTACTGAGCACTTATATATAACACTTTGATTTGACTGGCTCTCATTGGCTATCTCTATCAAAAGTTATATGTATGTGTGAATATGCGTGCGTTTGTATGCGTATACTTCTCAGCATATGTTTGTATGCGAGCGTGTCTCCGTATGTAAGTGTCCGCTCTATTCCAGTCTGTCATTAAGTAAGTAAAGCTAAAGAAACGCCATCATATCTGTTATACATTCATGCAGTGCTCAAGCAGTTATATGTTTACACACTGTGCCAGCGAGCGTCCATGCAATCCTTTATGTTGTACATTCAACTGTCACTCATTAATATTTGTTATACATTTACACTCTTCCAATTAGCTTGTGTGTATATAGCGCATTGAATGACTGGCTATTTTTGGCTATCTCTCTCTGCCTCTTTTAATAATTCTATGCACGTGTATATGATTGCGTGTGTGTAGCCTGTCGTTAAGTAAGGAACGTCCCAACAATTGTTATACATTTATGCAGTGCTAGGGAGTGACTTCCTCAAGCAGAACTGTTATATATTTATGAACTGTGCTAGTCAGCATGTAACTATTATACACTTATACATTTCTTTCATTCATATTTGTTATACATCTACACATATCCAAGAAATTTATATATGACTATCTCTCCCATCAATACTTCCGTGTTATATTTGTTTACTTGTAACTTGCTTTCCAGCGCCGTCATTAATATTATTGTAAGCCTAAATAAACGCTTATTGTCAGGTTGCCTGAGTGGTAGTTGGGAAACTAACATCATTAGGACGTATATTGCTTGCCATGCTATTCATTAGCCAACTAATTCGTCGAATTGTGTTTGTTTAACCACACTGAGTTCATCCACCCTCACACACACACACACACTCTCTCTGTGCCTGAATCAACTCCATTTTCCGCTGGGCCTGCTTTTGTTTTTGCAGCACGCTTGCACCATATGAACAGCTCCAACAGCCACCTGAACAGCTGCCCGAACACGCAGAATCCATTGAAGCATCAGCATTGCACAGCACTCGTCAACGCATCCACCACACAGCCAATCAGCCCACATTCTATGTGCCGCACGATCAGCCTCACGATCATGTTATCTATCCACTACTGCGTCATCCCTATCCATACGCCTATCCGTACTATCTATAAGTGTTACATGTTCTATGTTCTCCTGTTGCCACACTCGACAAGCTACCCTCGTTTCCTAATGCCATTAACTCTACTTGTAGGTCGGATGTGGACGAATGGCCCTGCCGCGGTGGCGGCGCAGATGCACTGCGTCAATCCATGTCCATTGTGAGCATCGTAGTTGCTCTGATCATTGCACGTGGACTGTGATCCAGTACTAAGCACTCTATAAACAACAATTAATCCATACTCACATCGTATGCCATGCACTGTACTTAAATATTATACAACAAATACTCCCCATTGCATAAACTTGTAAATTGCCTCAACGATTTCATCGATAATAAAATTAACAATTGTTATATATCCAATATCCCGAGTCTAGCAGCAACAGTCGTCGAGATTTCTACGATCTGATAGTGAAGTAACTCACAGTTGGATTTCTCGTTTCCCATAACTCAAATAGGCCAAACACGCAACATTAAAATCAAGCCAAAGCCAAAGCCAAAGCCAAGCCAAAGTCCTTCTAGGTGGAGCCCTGCCCCCGTCCTAATGATGACAGACTTTTGGCATAGCTCTAGGTGCCAACTTGAATTGCCAGAGTTCTTTAATTATTCGCACAGTCTGGCATTTATTTCATGAAAAGCATTTATAACTTTCGCCGTAATTCACATGGAAGCACGCAATTTATTTAGGCCTATGACGTCGAGCGGTCCCCATTTGCATGGGTCGATTCCTCAGTAATAAACCCATTTACGTTTGCCTAGCGAGATATTAGACCAAGACGCTCAGTTTATAGTAATTCCTAGAAGAACTAGATGACCTCAATGCCTGCATATACGAATGGGCTTTAAAGGACTCATATTATTTAGTTATAAACTCATTCAAAGTTAAGATTGTTTGTGAGACGTAGTTCCTAGTAGAATCAATCTCAATGTATGTTCTTATTTAAGAATTACTTTCACTTTTACCCAATCAAATTTTTAGAAAACAGAAGGTATAAGAAGGAAAACCTTGAGGGAACTGCCCTAGCTGAGCTTACATATTTAATATACAGCATAGTTATAAGGAAGTTATTCCTTGAAGTTCCTTTAATAAGTTCGATTAGATACGATGTTCTGAACCAGAGTCAACAACTGTTTTGCATGTGCCCAAGCTGCTGATCTTTTGCTTTAAGCATTTTCATTTATGTTCAAGTTAAATATTTAGCATTAAGTTAAATATTTATTTTCATATTTACTTATCCAGAAAGGCCTTTTACTCGAACTTTCTTATGGTCACTTATTTTCTTTTGACAATTTCTACTTAAGCTAACTTTAATCTTAATGTTAAATATTTATAATTTGTCATAAATATTTATTTTCATATACATTTTTCAAAAGAATCCAAATTTTCATAATTCTCATGTGCGAGCTGCTGTTTAGTTACTTTTAATATTTAACTTCAGGTTAAATATTTATCCTATTATATTTATCTTCATGTTAATTAAATTCCATAGCCAAAAAACTTAAATATTGTAACGTCTTGACACTTTTTTTAAATATTCATGTTAAAAATTTAACATGATGTTAAAAATGTTTTTAATTTTTAACATGCTGTTAAATATTTCATTTAATTTAACTCAACATAAAATTGTTTAGGTTAAACTGCAATTGAGTTCCCACGCATCTGTATTTATTTACGCTCGAGTTAAATATTTAACTTCATGTTAACTGAACTTTTCCCATAGCAAAATATAGTGAACGACCCGTGCGAATAGTCTTGGCTGTCAAGTAGTTGAACTTTAAAGGTAAATATGCTCACCTGGGTGTAAGTAACTGTTCAACTCGCACTTTCTGTGCACCTAATGAGTGCAATGACTTGTTACCCACTTTGGCCACCGCTAAGCGGAAGCCCTAGACGACCCAGAAAGCCTTGCGCTAGCGTCTGGAAACTTTGGTCAAAGTTGTAGGAGCCCCAAACAAAGAGGCGGCGCTGTTTGTGTGTGCGACTCAACGAAATGGGTTACAAAGCATAAAAACCCGGAGCGCGCTCCCTCCTCCGGTTCCTGGTCGATAGCGAGGCCTAATCACCTGGCCTCAATAGGCACAGCGAACGAGCTGTGGGTTTTTTTCTGTTATTTTTCTCGAAAATACTTTCACTCACTTCTGCCCCGGGCTGCCGGCTGGAATGACCGATGCGAGCTTGGGTGGACCCCGGCCAGAGTCAAGTGGTGCCCGTCGGTTGTCAGCCACTGTGGCCACAACACAAGGCGGACTTGGTTGCCAACATCGTTAGCTTGGCCAGTCGCCGTGCCGCGCAGTTGGTCAGTTCCAATCGAAACGGCTTATTGAGCAGACGCGCGCGTTCCCTCCAAGTCACAGCAGACTCAACGCACAGGTCTTCTAATTTAGGAATATCCACGGTCTCTGAATAGCCCAAAAGAACCTATTTTTAAACCACTCGCAAAGCCTTGACTGCTAATGAGAATCAAAATGCGCGCCTGTGGACCCAGTCTAATCAAATATATTTTATTTGCCTTCAATGTGCTCTTTGCGGTGAGTAAAAGAAACAGCAATAGACGTTGGGAGTGGGAAAGCTTAAGAATAGAATATGTCAATTAGTTGAATATTATAAATACATGATTTGATTTTACACCTACTTTATTCTTATATCATTCATAACTATTTTGGTAGTGACTTTTTAGTCTTATCTTAGCTGAAGTCTATGAGTAGCAACAGTTGAGCTAATCCAGTCTGTGAATTTCCAGCTTCTTGATTGCCAACTATGAAGTACATATAAAGCCTATCTATAGCTTCAACTATTTGACCATCCTTTATATATGAATTATAAATATACATACAATTGCTAAGCTCATACACATTCATTCAGTCAGTCATTCATTCATGCTCATAACATAAAAAGTTGATTCTGTTTGAGCTAAAAAAGTTGAAGTTGTTTATTTAAACAAATTATTTCCCAATCCAAGAAACACAAATTCCAAACCAGAATGCTTGAAGCTGCAGTTTAGCCTGAGGCTTGCGGTATATCCCAGTCGGACACTCCCGACAGAGAGCAATGTCTTTGAGCAGCAACTGACTCATAATCTATTAAATACACACTATATATACAGATATGATCATGAAAATAGTAGTATATATATTTATATATATATATAATTTTTTCATGAAGATATATGTGTATATAAAGTATGTATTTAAGATATATATACGTATATATATTCTAAAGTTAATATAACTTTTAGGGCTCAGTGGCACTACTATTCTAATGAACACACCTGTATATCATTAAATTAGAAGATCGACTGAATATAATTTATAATTAATATTCAATAAATAAATATTATATATATATATATATATATGTATGAATATTCATAATAATATATAAAAGCAATATTAAATCTTTTCCATTCATATATAAAAGGACATATAGCGATGATAAATACTGAAAATAAAAATAATAATATTAATATTATAAAAATACTAAAATAATATAATTAGTATATAGTATATTCCACTCAAATTGACATTAATGTAGTTTCAAAACAAAATAAAAAACTAAGTCAAATCTATAACAACCTTTTATTTACATTAATTTCTGTTGATATTGCTCTTATTTGGTCCTTCTATAAAACACTACAAAGTGTTATAAAATTTTGTCATAAAAAACATAAAAAAACTTTAGTTACAGCCCCCATTAAAAATAGATTGAAAGTTCTTAACTGTAACCCTATAGTCTAATAAATAAATAAAAGCCAACAAAAAGTGAAGTCAAAATGTAATCAATTTTTACTTACCCCAATGGCTAGCCTAATTAATTTATAAGATATAATAGATAAAACAGGAAAATGACATTTTTTATTTGTCATGCGGTATAATTGCGTGATTCGGTCTTAATTTATGCACCTGTAATGTAGGTAAAGGACATGCAATTAAATGCTCTTTAAAAAAAGAATCAAGATTAAATTATGTTAATGGATAATTGATTGCGCATGCCGGATAAATTTGGATAAGTGGATAATGCACGTATGGATAAACTGCATTTAAATCGCTGCGCTCAAAAGTAGGCAACACAATTTTCAATGCCACAAGGCAAAGCCCTTTGAACAGCAGCGGGTAAGAGAGGAAGAGAGGCAAAGGCGGGAGCAGAAGAAGAGAAATAGAAATGACGACATGCAAATGCCATTGACTTGGTCAATGTCCATGGCAATGGCTGATGCCTTATCAGGCAATTAGAGTTGCTAATACAAGCACACACAAAGGCACACTTAAGTACGCAGTGAGCAAGTGCGTTGGTTTGATTGTTCGGGTCATTAAACAAATTGTGCTTTGGATTAGCTGTAGGCCGTATAATAGCCGCTCTTTATAGAAAATCGATGGCCAGGGTTTTTCTTTATTTATGCCCAGAACCCATGGAATATGGGCCTTCAGAGCTAATAACAGAATATTATAATGTAAGTTACTGGCAGAGGGGGAATAGAAACTAGAAACTAGCCAGCGCCGATCAAGCTTGTCTCGATGATCGATCATTTTTACGGCTTTCAGTTATTAAAACAGAAATCTGACTTCTTTAGCGCTACAGTTAACAAACTTCACATTTAGTTGTGTGTTAAGCTTAGAAAATTTTGATTTATTTTATATTTTGGCTGCTGAAACTAAATTTTAATAATTTAATACAATTTAAGCTCAGTTGCGCGTAAAGCCAATATGCGAAAGTATTTCCACTTTTTCTCTATATACCACGTATTCAGTAGAATGTATACTACGTACGCTGAAAATTTCATAGAAATCCGTTTAGTAAGCTCGCAGTTAGTAAAGCAAACGTGTGATCAGCGTGGCAATCAGCGCCAAGCTTAGGCTTTTTCTCTATGCAAGCGCACACACACAGACATATATACATGCAAGCATTTCGAAATCTATAAATAGATTCACAATTGGAATGAAATTGTCATCTGTTAGTTTCGTTCTGTTTAACGCATGGCTGTGGCTGTGGTTGAGCGCGTCGAGCAAGACTTGACTTGAGTTGAGCAGGGAGACTCGGGTTCGAATCTTGGCGGGGAAGAAACTATTTCTCTAAGTAGAAGTTTGATTTTTTTTTTTTTTTTTTTTTTTTCGTTTTTATTTCTTTATTTTGTTGCAGCTTATTGTCTTAGACTCTATAGCGCATTTAGCTCTAAACCTTAACTAATGGGAGGGCAGATATGCCAATTATTCTGCACTTGTAGCTACTATCTTAATTAGTTCTAATATTGTCTAGAGGATGCAATCTCTTCAGTCTTCGCCTATTGTTGTTTATAGCCAGGTTGCTTGCGAGATGGTTAGGATGCGCTGCAAGTCTGTCCGCGTATCTTGAACTGTGTCGCCCAATGAGTTCAGCAACTGTGGGAATTGCTAAATCCCTATGTAAGACTGAGTTTCTTACAAACCAGCTGGCTCCAGTCCATCTGCGTAGTGCTTTATTCTGCAGGGTCTGAATTTTGTTCCTTGTAGTCTTCGCCGAGGAGCCCCATAGAGAGATACCATATACGAAGGTTGGGACAACTATTGCCTTGTAGATGGCGGCCTTGCTGCTGTAAGACAACTTGCTTGAAGCTCTCAGCATCCAGTCGAGGGTTTTTAGCTTGCTTTTGCATTTTGAGGTTACTTGACTTATGTGCGCTTTAAAAGTCAGCCTTCTGTCAAGAGTGATACCAAGGTACTTTACTTTTGAGGCTTTGGGAATAGTGGGCCCCAATGCAACGCTTGGGCAATCTCCTCTTCTAGTGGCGAAGGTAGTATGTACAGACTTTTGTGCATTAATGGTGATACACCACCGTTTTGCCCAGCGTCCGAAAGAGTCCAGATATTTTTGTAGTGAGTCTGAAGCTTCTTGCGCAGATACGTGACGTGATAAGATGGCGGTGTCATCTGCATAGGTCGCTATGAGTACTGCATCTGTACTTCCTATATTTGGCTCGGGAGTTGGCATATCTCCTGTGAATAAAGTATAAAGTGTTGGGCCTAGAACACTACCCTGTGGTACTCCAGCCATAATTGGTCTAGTCAAGGATACTGTTTGCCCCCTTGACACTTGGAAGGTTCTTCCAATAAGGTATGAGGATAGCAACGCGAAAAATGGGGCTGGAAGGGTGGTCCTCACTTTCTGCAGCAGTCCCAGGTGCCAAACTCGATCAAACGCCTGTTTGATGTCTAAAAAGACGGCAGAGCAGTACATCTTTTCTTCAAAGGCTCCAAGGATATGGTGCACAACTCTGTGAACCTGTTCCGGTGTTCCATGCTGTCTCCTGAAGCCAAACTGATGGTTTGGAATGGCCTCCTGGCGTCCCAGATGTGTCAGTACTCGTTCCAGAAATATTCTTTCGAATATTTTGGAGAGTACTGGCAACAGGCTAATTGGTCTGTACGACTCAATTTCTCCCACGGGTTTGCCAGGCTTAGGAATCATCACAATCACGGCGCGCTTCCAGCAGGCTGGAAAGTGCCGGATGCGGAGCATGGCGTTGTACACCATAGTTATGTAGTCTATGGTGGAGTCAGGCAGTGCTCTAAGGACTCTGCCGTTTATTAGATCATATCCAGGGGATTTTTTTGCCTTCACTCTTCTGATGTGTTCAAGAACCTCTTCTTTTGTACATCCAGTTATCTGGTCTTCAGCTGGGAGGGGCGAGAGAACGATGTCTTCTGTTGCTTCGATTTCTGAGGCCTCTGCGGTAATCACCGGCGTGAATTGGTCTTGAAGGTGGTTTGCAAAAGCCTCAGCTTGAGCTTCGTCTCCAATGTGCCAGGAACCAGAAATGCTCCGAATGGGATGACGTCGTATTGGCTGCCGTTTGAGCTTTCTTGTAAATTTCCATAATTGAAACTCTGCGTCAGTGGGCGATTCAGCTCGTACCAGCGCATCGCTGATACACCTCTTTTGAAGCAGGGCGAGAGCAGCTTTAAGATGCCTCGTGGCTTCGTTGTACATGGATTTGGCATCAGGCGTGCGTAATCTTAACCAGCGTCTCCTGGCCCATCTTTTGTGTATTAGTAGGTGTTGGGCCTCCAAGGTGAGGGGGATGTTGTACGGAGACTGTTGTCTTGTTTGGCAAGATGGTGGGGCGGCTTGGTGCGCAGCTTTGACTATTTCTTCCTGCAGTTTGTTTGCTGCGTAGTCCACGTCTTCAGGAGTGTTAAGTTCCATTTCTATGTGCAAAGAGTAATGGAGCTCGCGCCTAAAGACTCCTAAATCTGATCCTGCTGGCAGTAGTTGTTTCCTAATGGGCAAGGGCTGTGGCTGCGCGTGGATTGTGACTATTAGTGGCAGGTGGTCAGAGGATAGGTCCAAGGATTCTTCAATGGTCAATTGCCGGTCACAGATGCCTTTGTAGACAGCGAAGTCGATTGCCGAGGGCCTGTGTCCATTAATTGGGTAACGGGTGGGGGCTCCAGTCGCCAATATGCTGAATTGTAAGTTTTGAATCGCCTCAAATATGACTTCTCCGCGACGATTCGCACTATTGCTTCCCCAAAATGGGTGCCATCCATTCCAGTCGCCGCCGATGAGGGTCTTATTCAACCTTTGGCCTAGAACCTGTTCCATGTGATGATCACACAGACCAGTGTTTGGCGGAAGATAAATTGACGCAACTTCGATCGCTCCAATAGACGTAGGCAGGGTGATGGCTGAGACCTGCATTGTTGCGTTGCAAATTGGCAGTAAAGGTGTATGCGGTATTGTTGCTCGTATGAGGATTGAGGATCCACCAAAGCAGTTTGCTCCTTCACCATGAGCCTGATAGTGTTCGTATCCGAAAATTTGTGTAGTGGGGCACTCATGAGTTTCTGTTATTAACATTATATCTATGTTTTCTTGTGAGAGAAACGCAGCCAGTTCCTGAGTCTTGTTTCTCAGGCCATTGGCGTTCCAGATACCCACACGTAAAGCCATTATTTGTAGGCAAGCTTGGTTATGATGGCCATTAAACTGTTTAGCATGGTTGCTTGTTGGGATTGTACTTCTCGCATCGCTTTGAGCTCGGCATTAATTGCGTCAAACTGACGTTGTTGTTGCTGAAGCATTTCAGTGAACAAAGTGTCACTTGTGGTATTCTTATTTGACGGTCCACCTCTAGCGGCCTGTGCGTAAGAAACACCACTAATAGGCGTTGCAAAGCTCGTGGCTTGGGTAATGCTCCGGGGCCTTGTAATTTCGGAAGCAGTACTCGGACCCGTAGACGGTGTTTGTGTGGGACTCCTTTTTTGTGCTGGGGATTGCAATTTGCGCAACCGCTTGTATACTTGGCAGCCCTTATAGTTGGCTGGGTGCTGTAACTCACAGTGCACACAAGTTGGTGCCTGGTCCTTTTCGCGGGTGCAGTCTTTGGATGCGTGTTTCCCGGCGCAACGCACACATCTGGGAGCTTTGTGGCAGTAGCGTTGTGTGTGTCCAAATTCTTGACAGCGATGGCATTGTGTCAGGTCGTTGTATCTTCTTGGCAGTTCCACTGTGCAGCGTTGCCTGCAGACAACTCGAATGTCCAAAATTTCTTTGTTGTTGGGGGCCTGAGCCACGTCAACAAAAAATATATTTAGCGGTGTTTTGTCCATACGGCTCAGTGGGTTGTGCACATTTGTAATTGTGTGGCCTTTGGTTTCCAATTCCTTTTTAATTAGTGTTGTATCAGTGCTGGAGTGAAGCCCTTTGAACACGACTCTATATGGTTTGTCCTCCTTAAGCTGGTAGCAGTGGAACTCCAATTCCAGCTTAGTAAAGTGGTCTATAACTCTGCGATAGTCCTCACTGCATTGGGTTAATACACCTATGTTATTCTTCTTTGGCTTAATTACGTATGATTTAGCATCAATTACTTTATCTATTATCTGTTGAAGTAGGGCCACAGACTTGATGTTTGGACACCATATGGGGGGCGGACGAGGTTTCGGAGTAGTTTGCTGGTCGGTCAATACTGGGGCTTCTGGAGCTACAGGTGATTCGCTGTAGTCTTCATCTTCTTCTACGAGCAGTGAAAATCGATTTTCTGATATTAATGCTGCATTGCTGGTGCTTGGTTCGTCGAAGATGAGCCTTTTCTTGATGGTTTTTGGTGAATTTGGCTGTTTACGTTTCGTGTTTTTGTTGTTAGTGATGCCTTGCACGGAGGCGATATCTATTTTTGAGTTTATTGGCATGATGGAGGCTTGCCTATTTGCCATCACAACGTTAAGCTGGGCTTGCATTTCTGCATTTACCTTTACAGCTGTAGCGAGGTTATTGACATTAGATGTCATCGCGGATTGTGCTTTTGAGTGCAGGCGCACTCGCGCCAAGCGACGAAATTTCGTAAATTGCAATTAAAGCAATTGAGTTACGCGGAAGCAAGCGATAAGAAAACGCTGCGTGTGCGGTTTTTGTTGCTGTTGCGTTGAAGAATGCACCGCAAAGTTCTATTTTTAGAACTCTGCAGCAGTAGAGCTTAAGCGAAGGCTGTTCGAATTCACGTCTTTACAGGTCGAACGACTGATCGCGATTGAGAAGTTTGATTTTAATTGTTACATTTAATGATGAGTGAGTGAAGACAAAAGAGAGCTCTCTCTTGCGTGTGTTGTGTGTTTTTTCTGTCTGTTTAGTCTGGCTGGCAAGAGGATACCCTTAATTTTGATGAGCGGGGGGAGTTTATTTAATATGAAAGAGGAGAGAGTTTATTTAATATGATTAGGATTTGTGTGAAACAAGAAATGTGTGGAAATGTGGAATGCGCGTTTGTTTATTGAGAAAAAATATAAACTTGTACTACGTTTTTAAAGAGGGGGTGGTGTATGCAAATGAGAATATGAATATTTTCTTCACTCACATCATGAGCGGCAATTAGAAGGATAAAAAAATGTATGGACATGACTATGACTAGACATGTCAAATGCAGCTCTCATTGTCGTTCTGGTCAAAAATATAATATTATAAATTATTCTATTATATAGTTTATATAATATTATAAATTATTTTATTATATAGTTTATAGAGTCAGCCACACCGCCTTCCTCCTGCATGAGTAGATTACAATGAAATACCAATATATATGCCCTGAGTTCCCATTTTCAATGGGATGGTTTCTGTGGATATATGAATCTGCTCAGGGCTGGTCAGGGTATCTGCTAGTCGTGCACTCCTTCACCAAATCAATTTTTTGTTTAACCATTATTTCCTTGTGTCTTGCAGCTTTCGGGCTTGGGCATTCTGGTGGCCGGCGCCATCGTTCTGGCCGATGTCAATGAGTTCAATCACTTCGTGGAGGGACGCGTGATGGCTCCTCCCATCGTGCTGATCGTGACAGGGCTGATCATATTTCTGATTGCCTCGCTGGGCTGCTTTGGCGCCATCAAGGAGTCGCCCACGCTGCTGCTAACGGTGCGTCGATAGACACAACCCCCTGCCCACAGCCAATTGATTAACTAATTAACTAATCCTGTTCCGTAGTATGCCGTGCTGCTGGCCATCATCTTCATCATTGAGCTGGCCGTGGGCATTGCGGCGAGCGTGTTCAAGAAGGACCTGGAGGGCATGCTGAAGAACTCGCTGCAGGAGTCCATCAAGCGCTCCAACCACGAGGACACCATCGCCTGGGACAATGTGCAGCGCAAGCTGATGTGCTGCGGCGTCGACACGCCCGCCGACTGGCGTGCCCTGAGCCTGAACAAGACCCTGCCGGCCAGCTGCTGCCAGCCGCAGTTCATCGACGCCGCCGTGGGACACTGCACCGAGTCGCCGGCCCTGGGCAAGGACAAGTACTACCAGGAGGGCTGCGTCGGCAAGCTGAAGGAGCGCATCGACAAGAATGCGGTCATCCTGATTGGCGTCGGCATTGGCATCGCCTTCATACAAATCCTGGGCATCGTGCTCGCCTGCTACCTGGCGACTGTCATACGGCACACGCGCCAATCGAACTAAGCGTCCACGCAGATCTAGCTAAACTCAATGTTATTATATATTATATACTAAACTCATGTCTGTCCGCTTTAATATATATCTATCTCTCTCTCTCTCTATATATATATATATATATATATATGTATAGCTCTATCCTGTGCACTAGCTAAAGGAAATCGAATTCCAAACTCTTTTCAAAACTGCCGAAACTTTCTAAAACAGTCCAGGAGTTAAGCGAGGGTTGCTCAGTAAGAAATTTAACTCTTTTCTTGAATATAAAAATTTTAAATATTGCAGCAGCTTCAACTCAAGTCTCAGCGCATCTATAACTTTTGACTAAGTTCATATAGATTACATATAGCCTCTTACTGTAATCCACAACATACTGAGCACACCTCGCACTCCAAAAAACGCAACAAATCATAAGAGTAAATGAAAGATCTATAAGCTTTTTCTCAGACTTCTCTCTTGTGCAGCTCAGTCAAGCCATGTCGAACCTTCCAGCGAGGGTCGCTCTGTAGTTATATGGCTAAAGAAATTGATGTCAAAAAAAAAACATTAGAAACTTGAAGTTGAGCTGGCTTTAGCTCAATTCTTTTTATAATTTTTTTCTTTATATTTTTTTTATATTTTTATTTTATTATTATTATACTATATTATTTTATTTATATTTTATTTTCTTTTCAAATTCAGCTGCGAAACTCACTGAGCGAACCTCGTACTTATAAAAACGCAACAAGTCATTAAAATTTAATAGATTTCTGAGTACTTCAGCAAGTTTCCTAGTCAACTAAGCTACGTGCTACGTGCTACGTGCTACGTGCTACGCCGCCCCTTCAAAGCTCTGCTTTACAGGGTAAACGCGCGGTCGTCCTAGTTTTAGCATTTGCTTTCTATGCATACGAGTTTTTATCAAATAAATCAATTTGCTCTTTGGAACTGGGTTCGGTCTCTACAATTTATTGCTCTCAGCTACAGATACAAACTACGAAAGGCTGCCACAGCTGGGTGCATTGCGGTTCAACGAGTGCGCGCTACTCCTACTGCTACTGCTACTGCTACTGCTACTGCTTGAAGATGCCTGCCCCGAGGCGGGGCAATCGAATTGGATTTCTCTGTTCAAGAGGCAAATGCATAGCTTGGTCCTCTAGCTGGGCTCAGTCCCGCTGCAGCAGAGACTCGGAGAGCCGCTCGATGGCGGTGGCTGGCGGCTTCTTGTGGTCCTTGTCGGCTGCCGCTGCTGCCGCCTGCGCCTCGGCGTCGGCCGCCTCCTGTGCCTTGGCCTCCTCGTGCTCGCGCTGCTTCTGAAAGTGCCGAAACTCCGTCGGCGTCAGCATGCCACGCAGCACGGTGTCGTAGCTAACACTGACGCCCTTGGCGCACATCTTCTGGTGCAGCTTCCAGCACTCTCGCTCCTTGATGCTGCACACGTACAAGGGGAAATTGTATTCCGGCTGCTGCTGCTGCTGCTGCTGCACATTGCAGTTGGCCGCATTGTTCTCCTTCTTGGCCTCCTCCGAGGGCGCGCCAGCTGAGTCGGCCAGCTCCTGCTGCCTGGACTCCATCGGACTGCCCGACTCGCTGAGGAATATGGAGACGGGCGGTGCTGTCGGCGGCCGATTGGCCCGAATGCGCGCAGCCAGCGGCGCTATCGAGCCGCGCCTGATCATGTGCGAGTACTCCTTGGAGGCCAGTTGAAACGTGGGCGGATAGCTGTCTTGAAACGAGACTGCAAAACGAGTTAGTACAGCGGCCCAAGGCTAACTTAGCTATATACACTATATAAAATGGCAAGGCTCAAACTCAGCTGTTTTAGACAACTTTATATACTTGACTTTTTATACTCTTTATTAAGTTTTACATCTACTGAAACTTGGCGCCCTTTGAGCTAAGCGCTCCTGTGATCTAATACAAGCTCTGACTTCAAGAGCTGCCCAACTGTCTCTTGCCTAAATTAACTAACTCAGCATTGAGAAAAGCCATTGAATGCGAGCTTTTAATAAATGTTCTCAGCTTTATACCCTATATACTACATAAATATGTAAGCTTCAATACCCTTTTGAATACCCAAGTAACTTTATGTTTCGATAAACTCAGCTATGCCTGATGATAGGAAATGGTCGAGTCCTTAATTATTGGTTATATAATTGGTTAAATAATTAATTGGTTATATAATCTAATATGTATCTGTCTACTTCAAAATATACACAGGTCTGTATACAAAATTATAAAAAAATCAAAGCAATATGGCTTAAGAATAAAGCAATCCTATGTTATTTAAATATAACATAAATATATGGCAAAATCCTTGTAACTCACACAAAATAATATTAAAAATTCGCTTCTCCAAAGAAAAACCAATTTTGTAGAAGATCTACATGGTATACTACTAATTCAAGATCATATGTATATATCAAATAAATATATATATATATCTAACTCAATAGTTTTTCCTTGCTAAAAATGCTTTCAAAATCTAAACAGATTTATAATGATAATTCTATTAAAATAGTGATCAAATAGATCATTCAAGCATCTAAAGTTCAACTCAATAGACTCCCAATTAGCAAACGAATATTTTTAACATATGACTTGTCTTATTGGATTTTATTACAATTTTCTATAGGGCTAGTAATTGTGAATCAAATATATAAATTCACTTCGGTGAGTTTTGTGTGCACTGATGATTCAGCTTCAAGTTTTATTATCTCAGCTAAGTCAAAGACAGATCGAGCCACTCACTGAACAAATTAAATATTTAAAAATAAATATTCGCGTTTTCATACATTTTCATGCATTCAGAAACATCAAATTCACGTTCTATAAAGTTCAATATAGTTGAAATTCATTTTTGTGTCGCAAAAAGACATTTTCATCTAAGTAGATAAAAAACAAGTGCGCAGCTAAAATGTGATCAAGGCGATTTCAAATCGAAGCAAATATTTATAAAGCAATAACTTATTGGAAAATTATATAAACATATATTATATAAACATATTCATGCGGCAGCCTCTGAAGTGCGAGCAGAGATGAAACAGAACTGAGAGCAGAGAGTGAAGCTGTGAGAGCTAAGAGATTGTTGAAATTGTGAATCTAAAACTAAATCTAATTTTCAAATAAATCAAAAAGCAACCAAATATGTTTAAATTTGAAATTATTAAACTAATCTAATAAATAAAACTAAATCTAAATCTAAACAAAATCTAAAAAAAAATCAACCAAATTTGTTTGAATTTCAAATTATGAAACTAAACTAACTAACTAAAACTAAATCTATATCTAAACTAAATCTAAAAAAAATTAAATTAGAAATATGATAATGACAAATATGTTAATGACAATCTAAATGGACTCAAAAAGCAATATCTTATGAGACTTGTAGCAGCTTATCCTGTCTATCTAACTGAATCAAACATTTCTGCTCTTCTTTTCCAACTGGAATTCAGTCAGCTGCAGCTCCGCTAACTCTAGAGCTTCACAATCTAATCAAATCCTCTTTAGCTACACATTATTATGCTATATATAACTTAGATTATCATATGTATACATGTTTCATATAAAACTCAACTCTAGCTACACATGCAACTGCACGCTTCCAACTATTCAAATGAAATTCTCACTGAATCCAATTGGATTTACATGCAATAATCTTATTGGACTTACCCGATTTGCCCGTTTTGCGCAGCAGCGGCGCACGGCGCAGTGGGCTGCGCTGCGCTGTCGCCGTCGTCAGTTTCTCGCCGCCTGTGGGCGTGGCAGAGTTCTCCTCACGCTCCGAGTCGCTGCCCTCGGAGCTGAGCAGCGAGACGAGCGTAATGACATCGGGCGCGATGACGCTGCGCGCGCGGCTCAGCGACTTCTTCTGGCTCGAGCCGCTGGCATCGGAGCTAAGCAGCGAGCTGCCATCCGGTGGCACGGCCCCTGCCACCGAGGAGGTGGCACGCGAGAAGATCTTGCGGCGGCGCAGCTTCTGCTGCTGCTGGCTGCGTTTGCTGGCTGCGGCTATGACGCCTTTGCTGCTCTCATCCAGACGCACCGGAGCGGACATGGCACGCACCAAGGGCGGACGCCGTTGCACGGTCAGCGCCGAGCTGACGTTCTCCTCAGGCTTGGCAGCTGATGTGGCTGCTGCAGCTGCTGCTGCTGCTGTTGTCGTTGTCGTTTGCTGCTTGGGCAACTCGCTGCACTCCGTGGCGCTGTCGATGTCGCTGTGCAGCGTCTCCTGCTCGTTGGTGGCGCGTATGGTCTGAGCCAACACAATATTCAGATTGATACGATTCTTGTCCGCCTTGGCGCTGTGGATGCAAAAGTGTTACAGCTTGATTGCTTGATTGACTGATTGACTGATTGACTGACTGACCGAGTGACCTACTGACTGCGGCGTCAGCTAAATTTAAATCAAATTATTTTGCATTAGTTTGCAATTTATGCAGAAGCCAGCTGCACACATGCAACATGCAGCGCATGGCAGCATGCCCCAAAATAGAAATTAATTCGTGCAAATGCGCGGGTGGCCACGCCCCCGCCCTCCAGCGATCTCTGTGTATTTGTCTATTTGGAAAATGAAACCATGTCAATTACATTTACAATTGGCGCCCAAAAATAAAAGTGTTTACGGCAGCTCCTGCAACGCACGGAGTTCACTGAACCAGTTCCAGTTACAGTTGCAGTTGCAGTTGCAGTTGCAGCTCTGCCTGCACCTTACGCTATCTAGTCACGCCCGCGCTCTGTGCCTTGTGATCGACTTAACTGTGTCGCAGCGTGGCGCTTGAGTGACATGAGCTCCACTGGGCAGAGCAGGGGCAGCTGCTGGGTTGCCTCCGCCTAATCCTAGGCACACAAACTTTGACGTCGGTGTCAAGCGTGCAAATTGCGCCAAGTATTGAAAGTGTCATTTGGGCATATTACGAAGAGAGGCGGGCACTGGGCGGAGTAAGTGGAGCTGGGCGGGGGCGGTAAAAGCTCATTTGATACGCACATAAATTGATATGCATAAATGCTAATCGGCTCTACGCATGTGAAGTTGCGAACATGCCAAGGTCAAGCCAAATATTGACATTTCTTGTGTGTGTGTGTGTGTGTGTGTGTGTGTGTGTGTGTGTGTGTGTGTGTCTGTCTGTGTGTGTGTGTGTTTATGTGTTTATGTAATCAAAACATAGCTTTAACGGTTCATCGTTCAGAGTCGGCTACACTTTATTCTGCCTAACAGCCAGTAAAAGTGTTTTAGTGGGGAGTGCGCGACTAGCAGCTACCCGGAATCCTACGCTTCCTTTATACACGCTTCACAATTAATACAAGCACACACACACAGCAATTGCTGCGACTCAGCTCGTCATTCCCATCAGGAATAATGTCGACCACGCCTCCTTCTGCCTATTACTTACAATATGCCCTGATTTCCCATTTGCAATGCGTACAGTGCACAAATATTTATTCATTTACATTAAATATCCAATTATGATTCTGAACCTTACCCAATCAATCCCCAAAAAACAAAACGAAAGATATAATTTGCATCATATTTCCGAATTTTAATTTATGGAGCGAAAAACTATCTAAAATTTGATTGGTTTCTCACACTACACACAGGTCTATAGTTTTTTTAGGAATTATTTTATATATTTTAAATAATTTGACAGGCAACTAAGAGAGGAGAGAGGAGAGAGAGGAGAGAGGAGAGAGGAGAGAGGCAACAAGAAATGAGAAAAAACGTTTAATTGCTTTAACCTTTGTATCTTTGTAGCCTTGTACAGTTGTACCTTTCTGCTTTTGTACATTTGTAACTTAGTACCGTTGTACCTTTGTAAATTTGAACCTTTGTACCTTTGTGCCTTTGTAGCTTTGTGCTGTTATACCTTTGTACCTTTGTGCTGTTGTACCTTTGTACCTTTGCACCTTTGTGCTGTTGTACTTTTGTAACTTGGCACCTTTGTGCTGTTGTACCTTTGTGCTATTGTACCTTTGTACCTTTGTGCTGTTGTACCTTTGTACCTTTGTGCTGTTGTACCTTTGTAGCTTTGTGCTGTTGTACCTTTGGGCTGTTGTACCTATGTCATTTTGTACCTTTGTGCTGTTGTACCTATGTCATTTTGTACCTTTGTGCTGTTGTACCTATGTCATTTTGTACCTTTGTGCTGTTGTACCTATGTGATTTTGTACCTTTGTGCTGTTGTACCTATGTGATTTTGTACCTTTCTGCTGTTGTACCTTTATACTTTTGTACCTTAGTACATTTGTACTTTTACCCTTGTACCTTAGTACAGTTGTACCTTTATGCTTTTGTACCTTTGTGATTTTGTACCTTAGTACAGTTGTACCTTTGTGCTTTTGTACCTTTGTGTCTTTGTACCTTTGTACCTTTAATAGCACAGCCACACAGAATTTCCTAACCAATTATCAGACTATACTTTTCCGAAGGTTTCTGACGCAATCAAACTGAAACTGAAGCCTGAAAAATTCTATTGCTTCAGAGTCTTGTTACACCGATATATTTATATAAATAATTCATATAAATTCCATACATATCTATACACATCTGTTGCCTCGATCGACCTAGCTCATACATCAATCAATCAATCATTCAATCACTCAGCGAAACTTGGCCCTGATCGCAACATACTTTGTGACAGTTAATGCATCAGAAATGTTTCTATAGTTGCTCAGTCTCCTCATACATTTTATATAGTCCACAAGTAACACTTAATCAGATAACTTCACCAGATCTGAGCTATATTCCATATTAGTTATATAGCCAGAGATATTTGCCAATATCGCCTTCTGCTTTCACTTACGTGTCTGTCGCTGCTTGAGCTTCCTGCTGCTGCTGCTGCTGTGGCAGTGGCTGCTTCTGCGAGGAGGAGGAGGCTGTGGCTGCCCAGACCATGAGGCCAGTTTTGTCGCGCAGTCGAGCGCTCAGCTCTGCCGGCGTGGGCCCTAGCCGAGCCGCGGACTCGTCAATGGCCAGCGAGCTCTGGCGGCTGGGCGCGTACAGCTTCTGGCGTATGTTCTCTATGGAGCGGCCAACGGAGAGTCCGCGCGACAAGTAGCCACGCTGCTGAGCCGAATATCTGCCCACGCTGCTGTGGGCGTGGCCGTGGCTGGGCGGTTCGATGAGCGAGTGCTGCTTGCGCACGGGCAAGGCAGCCGTAGACGTTGACCCAGTCGCCGTTGTCGTCTGATAGCGACGGCGGCTAGCCACAGACAAGGACATGGCGAGGCAAGTTGCTATTCAGATTCGGATTCGGATTCGGATTCGGATTCGAATGCGGCTGCGGCTGCGGTGTTGGGTGTCGCCAGGTGCCCGTTTGATTAGCGACTAAAATTGGCAATTGCCGTTCGAACGGTTCCGAGCTGAGAATCAATTCGCATCGAATGCAAATCAATTACGCTGCCATTAGGCCCAGAAGGCAATAACTTTGTCAACAAAAGCGCCCAAAAAGCGGCTGCAGTCACGGCACGAACGGGCTGCCACTTGAGTTGAGTTGACGTAAACTTTCACTTGGAGCTAATTTGCTATGGCTATGGCCAGGTGGGAGCGCGTGAGAGTGGGAGTCTGCCAGCAGCAGCTACTCCTGCTGCTCATGCCTCCGCGTCCGCGTTGTTTGCCTGCCGCGCGCTAACTGCGTTTTGTGAATGAAGCCGCTTTGTTATGTTGCCAACAAACAAGCAAACAAGCCAGCAAACAACATAGCAGCGGGAGCGTTGCCAATGCCCACCACACGCCACCCAACCACCCAACCACCCAACAGCCAGCACCCGCACCACCCACTCCACTCGTGCTTGGAGCGGCGCCATCGCCGCTGCAGCAGTGCTCGGCTTGACTCCGGCAGAACTGTTTGTCCCATTTCCGCCGGCTCGCACACGTGCAGCGAGGGTTGCTCAACAAGTTCTAGAGTCAAAAAAAAAATGGCTTTAATTTATGAATATTTTAGTGACACAGCAAGAGTGATAGCTTTTTCAACAGCTACAGCTGCGCAGCTGTTTAAGTTATTGATCATGTTTAGCTGCTGTAATACTAAGTAGTCTATGCCATTTAAATATAATTTAAAAGTTGAGCGCTTAAGCTTCGGCTTATAAAAGTTTTAGCCGAAGTTTATTGGCTGCTGTTGCAGCAAGACAGCCACAAGTGCAGCTTGCAGTCGAAGCGTTTTTGGCTTGATTGTGACAGTTATTTAAAAGTTGTGTATTTGCTTATATAATGGCATAGATGTAGCTATAAAATAAAATTAGAAAGAATGAAATGTGTTAAGTTATTTATGTTTTATTGCAATTTATTTTTGTATGGCTCTTAATGTGTCAGCTCTTTAATTTGGTTGTGTTTCGTGTGTTGCCTGCTGAAAGTGTGAAATAAAAAAATTAATTAAATTAAAATGCTCAATTTTATTATGTTTCAGCTACAGCAGGCAACTCATGAAACACACCTCGCATATCGCGCTGATTGGCTGACTGGCAACTCGATGAACTCGCACGAACTTTTGTTTTCATTTCAACGCCAGCGCCGAGTGAGAGGGGGGGGGGGGGGGGGGGTTGGGGGCAGGTATTACAATACTTTATTAAGTAAATCCAAAATCCATATGCAAATCAGCTTTGGCTAAATGAATGAATGAATGCGTGAAGGCAAAGCCGTGCCAACTCGCTCAATGTCAACGAATGTTAGATGCAAGAGAGGGGGAGAGCGAGAGGGTGTTGGAGGTGGAGAGTGGGAGTGGTAGTGGTAGTGGGAGTTAGAGGCAGGCTGTGTGAGTATCTGATGGCAAGTGAAAAACTTTCACATTTGTGACAATTTCAAATTCATCAAAGACATGCAAAGTTGTATCAAAAGTTTTCCGTGCGCGTTGGCAATCAAAAAGTAACGAACATAACTGCTCCACGACCCCAACGAAAGTAAAGAAATGTAACTGCTGCAACAACAACAACAATAGCAGCAGCAGCAGCAACTCAAGTAACAACAGCAAATGGCATCGACAACCCAACCAAAGCAAGCCCAGTTCAGGGTCACCTGCCATTCATACACAGAGACACACAGCCAAAGCTCCACCTGCCCAACCCTTATACAGACCATATATAATTGTTATGCCTGGAGCAGACACATATATATATATATATATATATATATATATATACCTATACTATTCAGTTGCAATATCATTGCGAATCGCACTTAAGACAAAAGGCAAATTCGAGTCGCATTAATCAAATCGCAGTCAATACTCTACGGGGTAGCTACTGCCACCCCTAGGCGCTGTGTAATGCACCCCTAACGGAAACTCATTGCTCATTGCCTCATTTCAAACATCTCCGCCAATAAAAATTCAAATTTCTCAGCCGGTGTCAAAGCTATATTTAAGTATATACACATAAAGGCGGTACCAATAGGCACCACTGAGTGCTCGGCCTGGCAGTGATCGACTGCGAGATACTCTGTTCAAGGCACGCAATAGTAGTCGCCTCAAAAAGCGCCTTTCTTTATTATCTATTTATTTTGTGACCCTTAAGGCAATACTCAGCAGATATTATAGCTGCCTGAAGTTTCCTCAAAAGATCTTCTTCGTTTAAGATTTTATCTGCTCAGTCATAGGAGCTTTCAGGGGACTCTTCAGTTCCGGAAGTGATGTAAGTGTCTAGGAACAGGTCTGGGAAGTGAGTCTAGAGCCAGGACTGAGACTAGCTCTGAAGCTGGATCAGAAGGTAGGTCGGAGTCCACGTCTGAGACCAGCCGTCTGAGGCTAGATCTGAGACTAGATCTGAGACAAGGTTTGAGACTAGGTCTGAGGCTGTCTGGAGCTAGGCCTGAGGCTAGATCGGAGTCTATATTTAGGACTAGGTCTGAGGCTAGGTCTGAAATTGTCTGAGGCCAGATCTGAGGCTAGCTCTGAGGCTAGGTCTGAAGCTGTCTGAGGCTAGATCTGAGGCTAGCTCTGAGACTTGATCTGAGGCTAGATCTGAGAGTAGGTTTGAGACTAGTTGTGAGGCTATGTTTAGGACTAGGTCTGAAATTGTCTGAGACCAGGTCTGAGGCCAGGTCTGAGGCCAGATCTGAGGCCAGGTCTGAAGCTAGGTTTGAGGATCGGAGTCTAAGTCTGAGACTAAGTTCAGGGCTGGATCTGAAGCTGACTGGAGCCAGGTCTGAATTCAGGTTGGAGGCGCGGTCTTCAACTAGGTCTAAGTCTGAGGCTAGATTTAGAGCTAGATCTGAGGAAGTTGTGAGCCCAAGTCTAAGGTACGGAACGAACTAAATTCTCTCTTTCTTTCTATCTCTCTCTATGTCTCTCTCTCTCACTCTTTCTCTGTCTCTCTCTCTCTCTCTCTCTCTCTTATGATCCCCTTGGATCGAAATCATGCTTGATTTTCAGGGTTATCAAAAGCGAACTCTGTGGCACGATTAATGTGTGCCTACATTATACAGATATATATATATATATATATATACATAACATATACATAACATATATATACATAACAAAGCTTGATAAGCGCCAAGTATCCGTAAGTAGAGCTAAATTCCCGGCAGTCGCGTGCTGTAAACCAACTGAAGATGAGGCGAGTGAATTGCAATTTGCTGCTCTTCTATGCGATTCTCAGTTGGCAAAGTGTAAGCAGGACAGATCAGCTCAGTGATCTATATAAGCATTATATATTCTCCAGCTATTCGTGTGCTGCAATGAGGCGCACGGACTGCGCCTGCTGCAGCAGCAGAGATGCGGAGTCTTTGCCTCTGTGAAGGTGACAAATGGACGCGAAGCCACTTGAGTTGAGTTGACGTAAACTTTCACTTGGAGCTAATTTGCTATGGCTATGGCCAGGTGGGAGCGCGTGAGAGTGGGAGTCTGCCAGCAGCAGCTACTCCTGCTGCTCATGCCTCCGCGTCCGCGTTGTTTGCCTGCCGCGCGCTAACTGCGTTTTGTGAATGAAGCCGCTTTGTTATGTTGCCAACAAACAAACAAGCAAACAAGCCAGCAAACAACATAGCAGCGGGAGCGTTGCCAATGCCCACCACACGCCACCCAACCACCCAACAGCCAGCACCCGCACCACCCACTCCACTCGTGCTTGGAGCGGCGCCATCGCCGCTGCAGCAGTGCTCGGCTGTCGCTCGGCTTGACTCCGGCAGAACTGTTTGTCCCATTTCCGCCGGCTCGTACACGTGCAGCGAGGGTTGCTCAACAAGTTCTAGAGTCAAAAAAAATGGCTTTAATTTATGAAGATTTTAGTGACACAGCAAGAGTGATAGCTTTTTCAACAGCTACAGCTACGCAGCTGTTTAAGTTATTGATCATGTTTAGCTGCTGTAATACTTAATAATCTATGCCATTTAAATATAATTTAAAAGTTGAGCGCTTAAGCTTCGACTTATAAAAGTTTTAGCCGAAGTTTATTGGCTGCTGTTGCAGCAAGACAGCCACAAGTGCAGCTTGCAGTCGAAGCGTTTTTGGCTTGATTGTGACAGTTATTTAAAAGTTGTGTATTTGCTTATATAATGGCATAGATGTAGCTATAAAATAAAATTAGAAAGAATGAAATGTGTTAAGTTATTTATGTTTTATTGCAATTTATTTTTGTATGGCTCTTAATGTGTCAGCTCTTTAATTTGGTTGTGTTTCGTGTGTTGCCTGCTGAGAGTGTGAAATAAAAAAATTAATTAAATTCAAATGCTCAATTTTATTATGTTTCAGCTACAGCAGGCAACTCATGAAACACACCTCGCATATCGCGCTGATTGGCTGACTGGCAACTCGATGAACTCGCACGAACTTTTGTTTTCATTTCAACGCCAGCGCCGAGTGAGAGGGGGGGGGGGGGGGGTTGGGGGCAGGTATTACAATACTTTATTAAGTAAATCCAAAATCCATATGCAAATCAGCTTTGGCTAAATGAATGAATGAATGCGTGAAGGCAAAGCCGTGCCAACTCGCTCAATGTCAACGAATGTTAGATGCAAGAGAGGGGGAGAGCGAGAGGGTGTTGGAGGTGGAGAGTGGGAGTGGTAGTGGTAGTGGGAGTTAGAGGCAGGCTGTGTGAGTATCTGATGGCAAGTGAAAAACTTTCACATTTGTGACAATTTCAAATTCATCAAAGACATGCAAAGTTGTATCAAAAGTTTTCCGTGCGCGTTGGCAATCAAAAAGTAACGAACATAACTGCTCCACGACCCCAACGAAAGTAAAGAAATGTAACTGCTGCAACAACAACAACAATAGCAGCAGCAGCAGCAACTCAAGTAACAACAGCAAATGGCATCGACAACCCAACCAAAGCAAGCCCAGTTCAGGGTCACCTGCCATTCATACACAGAGACACACAGCCAAAGCTCCACCTGCCCAACCCTTATACAGACCATATATAATTGTTATGCCTGGAGCAGACACATATATATATATATATATATATATATATATATACCTATACTATTCAGTTGCAATATCATTGCGAATCGCACTTAAGACAAAAGGCAAATTCGAGTCGCATTAATCAAATCGCAGTCAATACTCTACGGGGTAGCTACTGCCACCCCTAGGCGCTGTGTAATGCACCCCTAACGGAAACTCATTGCTCATTGCCTCATTTCAAACATCTCCGCCAATAAAAATTCAAATTTCTCAGCCGGTGTCAAAGCTATATTTAAGTATATACACATAAAGGCGGTACCAATAGGCACCACTGAGTGCTCGGCCTGGCAGTGATCGACTGCGAGATACTCTGTTCAAGGCACGCAATAGTAGTCGCCTCAAAAAGCGCCTTTCTTTATTATCTATTTATTTTGTGACCCTTAAGGCAATACTCAGCAGATATTATAGCTGCCTGAAGTTTCCTCAAAAGATCTTCTTCGTTTAAGATTTTATCTGCTCAGTCATAGGAGCTTTCAGGGGACTCTTCAGTTCCGGAAGTGATGTAAGTGTCTAGGAACAGGTCTGGGAAGTGAGTCTAGAGCCAGGACTGAGACTAGCTCTGAAGCTGGATCAGAAGGTAGGTCGGAGTCCACGTCTGAGACCAGCCGTCTGAGGCTAGATCTGAGACTAGATCTGAGACAAGGTTTGAGACTAGGTCTGAGGCTGTCTGGAGCTAGGCCTGAGGCTAGATCGGAGTCTATATTTAGGACTAGGTCTGAGGCTAGGTCTGAAATTGTCTGAGGCCAGATCTGAGGCTAGCTCTGAGGCTAGGTCTGAAGCTGTCTGAGGCTAGATCTGAGGCTAGCTCTGAGACTTGATCTGAGGCTAGATCTGAGAGTAGGTTTGAGACTAGTTGTGAGGCTATGTTTAGGACTAGGTCTGAAATTGTCTGAGACCAGGTCTGAGGCCAGGTCTGAGGCCAGATCTGAGGCCAGGTCTGAAGCTAGGTTTGAGGATCGGAGTCTAAGTCTGAGACTAAGTTCAGGGCTGGATCTGAAGCTGACTGGAGCCAGGTCTGAATTCAGGTTGGAGGCGCGGTCTTCAACTAGGTCTAAGTCTGAGGCTAGATTTAGAGCTAGATCTGAGGAAGTTGTGAGCCCAAGTCTAAGGTACGGAACGAACTAAATTCTCTCTTTCTTTCTATCTCTCTCTATGTCTCTCTCTCTCACTCTTTCTCTGTCTCTCTCTCTCTCTCTCTCTCTCTTATGATCCCCTTGGATCGAAATCATGCTTGATTTTCAGGGTTATCAAAAGCGAACTCTGTGGCACGATTAATGTGTGCCTACATTATACAGATATATATATATATATATATATACATAACATATACATAACATATATATACATAACAAAGCTTGATAAGCGCCAAGTATCCGTAAGTAGAGCTAAATTCCCGGCAGTCGCGTGCTGTAAACCAACTGAAGATGAGGCGAGTGAATTGCAATTTGCTGCTCTTCTATGCGATTCTCAGTTGGCAAAGTGTAAGCAGGACAGATCAGCTCAGTGATCTATATAAGCATTATATATTCTCCAGCTATTCGTGTGCTGCAATGAGGCGCACGGACTGCGCCTGCTGCAGCAGCAGAGATGCGGAGTCTTTGCCTCTGTGAAGGTGACAAATGGACGCGAAGTCAGGCTGGCCTCGAGGCCCTGGATGGCATTGCTGCGTCTGCGCTACGCCGGTGAGGAAGGCTTTCACTGTGCCGGGACGCTCATAACAGATCGTAAGACAGGCTGAGCTACAATAGACACTCATATCACATGTCCGTCACTTGCAGGCTTCGTGCTGACAGCTGCCCATTGCGTGGCGCCCTTTGAGCTGTGAGTTCACAAATTGCGCATAACATTTTACAGGGCATCCATGTGCTGGCCATTTACAGGGTATACGTGCGCTTGGGTGAGCACAATCTAAGCACCGACACCGACTGCAAGGTGACTGGCAAAAGAACTATGTGCGTGCCGCCCGTTGAGGATGTGGGCGTGGCAGCGGTATACAAGCACGAGGAGTACAGCTCAGCTGCCAAGCACAATGATATAGCGCTGATCAAGCTGGAGCGACAGGTGGAGTTTAAGAGTGAGCACTGCCAATCTCAGGTAGAAGAAGCTGTGACCGTTATGCACTTTGCTTTCAGAGCACATCAAGCCGATCTGCCTGCCCATCGGTGTCGAGGCGAGTCAGTCCTTTGTGGTCACTGGCTGGGGCATAACGGAGAATGGCACCGCAGTCGATGTGCCGCGCGAGGCAGCCATTGAGCTGCAAGCGAGACAGACGTGCGCCCATACCTTCGACCGTATTGTCAAGCAGAGTCAGCTCTGCGCTGGCGCCACGGCGAGCGACTCGTGTCGCGGCGACTCCGGCGGCCCCTTGTCCTATCCGGCGGTCTATGCGACTCGACAACGCTTCGTCCAGTTCGGCATTGTGAGCTACGGCGCCCGCGACTGTGGCAACGGCTATCCAGCTGACTACACCGATGTGGCCAGCTACTTGCCCTGGATAACTGGCATAATAGGGGCGAATTCCTCAAAAGATTAGAGCAGTTGCAAGCATCAGTATCACGCAATCAAATCAAAACATTATCTTTACATACTCCATATATATACACCAGAAATATGAAAAAGAAACAAAATATTTTAAATAAAAATGTAAAAACGAAACTTTCTAATTATTTATGTAGTAATTTTATTTAAATGTTTTATTTTATTTTAAATGAAATATTTTCTATTAAATTTATAATTGCAAAATTCAATTCAAAATTCAAATCTAGCGCCAAATAATGTCCAAAGTGTGCACAATTGTAAGCTACTTGCTATATATATCTCTCATAGCATGCAGCTTTATGCTGTCAGCGCCACAGCATTTGGCAGCCCTGAAACGCACATACAATGTTGTAAAATGACGTTTGCTGCTGACGTCTCGTAGCCGTCGGCTGTCAAGTGACGTTTGCTGTCGTGGCGTTGACAGAGATAGAAAGTAGCAGCCGCCGCATTGGGTTTGAGTTGTACATCGAACTTTTCCTATATTAAATTACACACCAAAATCACAACAATAATGCAACGTCAAATGCTCGTTCTCTGCTTGATTGCCGTCGCCTGCGCCACGGGCGCCCAGGCCAGCTGCAAGGCCACGTTGAGCGCATTCAGCACACAGGATGCAACAATTTTGACTCAATTGGCGCATGTTGCAGAGTTCACACTGCAGTGCAGCAACTCGGCACAGCCCAGCCTGTTCGCAGAGTTCCCCTGTGGCAAGGTTGTGCCCGTTGCCAAGGTGGGCGACAGCAAATATCAGGTGAGTTAGCGGCCTCGTTCAGTGCAACTAGAATCTCATCCAATGCATTGGCAGGTGAGCTGGGTGGAGGACATCAAGCAGGGCAGCAGCGGCAATGTGCAGGTGCGTCTCTTCGACGAGGACGGCTATGCCAATGTGCGCAAGGCACAGCGCGATGGCGATAAGATCTCCTCAGTCAAATCCTTGCTGGACATCACTGTGCCCACAAAGAGCGCCTACAAGGGACCCTGGATCAAGGCTGAGCTGCTCGCCGCTGTGCTGGTTGGCGGCGTTGCCTACTTCGCCTTCACCACCAAGAGCAAGGTGCAGTCGTAAGGCCGAGCATGTGCGTCAACTTCTTGAATGAAATTCATTCACCGTACCAAGTAGCAACAAATTAACGGCATTAATCGCGATTCATGTGTAGGATTCCAGAGAGATTTTTTCCATTTTCATATCGTTAAGTTTCATAGTTCCAGAATCGTGTAAATAAATTGTTCCAAGTCCAACAACAATTAAGACGACAAACTGCACTTTAATGCATCTAAGTTAAGTTTACTTAAGTTTAACAATACAATTTGTAAGTTGCTTTAAGATAGATAGAGGACGTCTCAGTGGACCGCTCCAGTGGCCGCAGCAGCGGAGAGGCCGCCACCCGCACCTGTGGCTGGCAAGCCACCATTCATATTGCTCTCCTCATCGGATGAAATGTCTATCATGCTCTCCACTCGCGACGGCGACATCACATATACGAAATGCTCAGTGGAGCCCTCGGGCACCATGCCACCGGCAGCCGCAATCAGCGTGGAGCCATCCGGTTGCTGTGGCGGCGGTGTATCGGTGCAGTACTTCAGATTTGCCGTGCTGCCCGACTCCTCGGGCGGCGGCACGCCGTTGCAGTCAAAGTTCTCCAGCTCCAACTCGATGTCGCTGACGATACGCATGCAGCGCATCTTGGCCAGCGATTGGAACTTCATGGGCATGGCGCGCACCTGTCGCGCTAGACTCAAGAAGAACAGCGTATTGGCGTCCAGTTCACGGTTAGCCTGCAGCACAGCGGACACATCCCAGTCGGTGGGAAAACGCGGATCGCTCATCTTACGTGTCTTGGCGGGCGAGGGCTGGGAACAGTTGGATGCGGCTGCATTCGAGCTCGTACAGCTGAGGTTGATGGCTGTTGTCTGCGGCGACGGCTGCACGCGCCTCACCTTTGAACTGGGTGGCGCCGGCGGCGGTGGCGGTGGCGTCGGGTTGCCCAGCCCCAAAGCTGATGGCGCATTGCCATTAAGATTGTGTCGATTGGCCAGATTCTGGAACAGGCCAAGCGGCGCTCCAGCCGCTGCCGCTGCGCTCAGCTCCTTCTTGAAGTTGTCAGCGGCAGCAAACAGATGCGGCTCGATAATCAGGCAACCCACATTGTTGGCTGTGCTGCAGTTGGGCGTCGACGTTAGCGGCAAACCTGCGGCAGCTGCTGCAGCTTTTAGCGTAAACATTTGTGCGGCAGCCGCTGCAGCGGGCAATCCACCAATGCCCATGGGCAAACTGGCCAGCGTGGCCAGAGCCGCAGCATTCGCACTGACTGAGCCCTTGCCCGCGGCACTGAGTGGCAGGGCGGGCAGAGACAGAATACCGCTGTTGGAGCTGCTGTTGCTGCAGTTGGCAGCTGGCGGCGTCATCGAGCTGAGCGTCAGAGGCGCCACCGCCGCACAATTGCTGCTGCCATTGCTGTTGCTATTGTGGTTCTGCGGCGCCGCGCCGGAGTTGCTAAGCGCTCCGGGCGAGACGAGGCTGGGCGGCGTGGCGGCCACGCTCGGCGTCAGTATCGGCGTTGTATAACTGTTCACCGTCTGCGTGCTGAGCGCCGAAGTTGATGCTGTCGCTGTGGCTATGGTAATCTTCAAGTCATCCTCACCTCCATTGCTGGCCGCCTTGGCAAGCACCTGATAGCCGAAGTCACATTCATTGTCGTCCTCATCGTTCGACTTGCCATTGCCATTCGCCGAGTTTCTGTGGAGGATGCAAGTGTTAAAGTGTGATCTATGCGAAATCTAGCTAGGGCAACTCACCTGCCAGGTCCTTGAAACGGCTTCAGGAACTCCATGTGATCCGCGTGCGCCCAATACTGATATTTCTTTGAAGTTTTTGTGCCAACTCGAAAGGAACGCAAATATTTTGTATAACTGTCGCGAAGGTTTTTCCATTTTCGCTTCGAAGCTTCTGTAAAAAACAGACAAAAATGTTCCGTTAGTTTAAAAATGCAATGGAAAGTTAATTATTATTATAGATCTAAGTATACTTATTTCATGAACGTATTTCATACATCTCAACAGTTTTTAATTGCATACTTTTAGAGTGAAATTACTCTTAAAAGGCTATCTATTGACAGCACCCATACACTGCGCGTCATCAGGATAGCACCAATTTAAGGTTGAATGTCATTTATCATCATATAAATCCCACAATGCTAAAAAAAAACAAATTTCTTATAGGAACAGGAACAGGAAATGGCGTTAAGTTTCATTCAAAGGAAAAAACAAATTAGCAGAAGCAAACGAGTGTCAGAGGTGGCACTATAAGGATGACGCATAGTGTATATTGAAACAAGCGTTTGTAAATATTGAATTATATAACATTTGATGACATCCTTTCTTAAGAATTTAAGCACACACACTTCAAATATACATTTATACATACATTCAAAAGCACTTCAAAGCTTGTATCGCTTTTCTAGGCAACAATTGTGTTTTCAGAGATGAGCGTTTATTGCGATCACTGTGACCATGACGTTTAAAACATGACTGAGGCTCAAGTTATTACATACAACTGATACTTCGCATGTTCCTTGTAATAAATTCATTGTTAAATAGTTAAGCTTTTATTTCTTGGTTATTATCTGCACTGTTCAAAGTTTTTTTTTTAAGTGGTCTACGTCTTATTTTAGAGCGAAATACAAATCACAATGTGAATTGCTTAGCTCTGCTCAGCTCTGCTCTGCTCAGCTCAGCTCTGCACAGTTCAGCTCTAAGCATTTACAGTTTTGACAACATCAGATTTTTTAACTAAATATATTCCCAACTCTGTTACTTTCATACGCCTTAGCTGTCCTTCAAGAGAAAAAGGCTTTTTTATAGTTTTGATTTAGTCGATCGTGGTCTGTTGAACGGAGTGGACGTTCGCTTATGCGTCATTTTGAAGGGTAAACAAGTGTCAATTAAAAGTGTGGAGTAAGTGTGATTCCAGGTGAGTGAAAAAAAATTGACACACATACATAAATACAAGTGTATGCACATATATATTATATAAATATTTGTTGCTAAATTTGAGGGCTATTGCAATATTTTCTGCCAATTTCCTTTTCACTATTGTTTTGAATACGTATATATATACAAATGTAAATGTATTTAAGATTTTATGAATTTATGTATGTATGCATGTACTTTAATATAAATATTTGCATTTTAAATTTTCGGGTGCACTTGGAAATATCACAAATAACTTAAGACTTACATTTCCATTAATAAGAATTCCACTCACAATTAGAATTTTTGGTAAATATTCCAATGAAAGTGAAATGCAACAGCGACCAATTGGCCTGCCTGCAACAAAAACAAAGTGGCAACACATTTTGCGTCTGCATTTGTTTTTATGCTGACATTCGAGGAACCGAAGTGAGAAAAGGCGAAATGTGCGTGAGAGTATGAAAGAGAGATTGAAAGAGATAGAGAGAGGGGGAAATCGATGCGCAGAAGCAACAGGGTGTCACAGTTTGTACTGTTACAGAAAACTGAAAACATTACGCTGAATCCTAATCGTATTCAGTAGCTATATTATATTAATATTCCGTGCTCTGTGTTCAACAAAAATTAGTAAAATAGTTATACTTTTTTGTAGTCAATTTTGACAGTGCTCATATTATCCTGTTCTTAATACCACTAGGTTTGTGCATACGTCAAACTGGGTGACGTTAAATTCTCTCTCAGCATCGCACTGACAACAATAACAATAACAGCACCACAGAGCGCGCAGCTTGTATCAGTTTCGCTCTTATGTTTTTGTTTGCCTTTTCTGCGCGTTCGTGTTTTCATTATACTCTTATTCAAGCGATGTTCATTTTGCAATCTTATTTGTAACAATGGTATTAAATTTAATTGTATAATATCAAGTTGCTTGTTTTCAATTAATATATGTATATATGTTTATTTAAAATGATATTGATCTTCGCACTATTAATTTTTTCATAATATATAGATAGGAATACGAAAAAGTGGTCCGAGAAATACGTGGTAGGGTATGTGGATGTTGGTGTGCAAGGGCTGCTTTTCTTGTTTTTGTTTTTGTCTCTCACTGCAATTCGCCGACCGCGGCCGCGTTCTGCACAGCGCCATGCCATCCGCACCGCACTCGCCCCCGCATACAATCATCTGTAGGCGCGCTCACACTCTGACACATGCACACATACAGAATACAGAATACATATATATACGTATATGTATAGACAAGAACACATACACAAAATAAAACGGCCGGCGGTTCGTCGTCGCAGCGACGACGGCAGAACATTTGTCCGCTTTGCTGTGCGACGCGGGCCGCTGGTTGAGTGTGTGAGTTTCGCAGTATATACAAGTATGTGTATATATATATACGTATATGCATGTATGCGATTGTGAATGTTTTCCGTGCACGTAGTAATTGAATTTAAGCGAACAGGCGGCCGCAGCGGTTCTCAGCTACCGCCGCACAACTTCCCTTTTTTCCCGTAAATTTCTTGGTGTGTATGTGTGTATTTGGCTTGTGTTTTGTTGTTGTTTTTTGTTATGCCGCTACGGCGATGTTGGCTCCTTACCCACAGATAATCCAATCTCGTCCGCTATTTGCGTCCAGACTTTCATCTTCACCTCAACGTTCTTATAATCAGGATTGTGATTATTGTAGACGACATCGTACTTCTTGACAATATCAATGAAATCGGATGTATTATCGGAGGTTGTGGAGGATTCACTAATCGCTCGAGCCACTTTCATTTCCTTCATGGCTTATCGTTAACGGTTTTTCAAAAACTTTTTGCAGCGGCGCTTTGGCAGTTTTCACTAATACACACACGTTCGCACGCACGCACGCACATGCATAAGCGACACGAACAGAAATCTTTTTATAGGCGTGTGGGCGCGCTATTGACCGTTGACGGCAAGACCACGACCACAGCGCCTTCCCCCTCCGAACGAACGGCAAAGAACAGGCAAGGCGAAGCGTACAGGCAACGAGCGAACTGCGAACAGCAAACAGCGAGAGACCAGCGAGCGAACGAGCGAGCGACTGCCGTTTTGTATGACCGCCTCGACAAAAGTTGGACACTTGAATGAGGAGAGCGCACATGAGCTGCATGCACACAACCTAACAGAGGCATCGGCAGCGGCGGCAGCAGCAGCAGCAGCAGCAACAGCAGAGACCGCAGCAAGCAGCGGCGCCAGCGACGCGACAGCAGCCAGGCAGGCAAGCAGGGCAACAACAACAACAGTAAGAGCAACGCGCCAGCGTACGAACGAAGCGACAGTGAGGCGAACCGTCGTTGGAGGACGTGTAAAGAAGAACAAGAAGCAGCACAACATCATCATCATCATCATCGTAGTCGCCGTCGTCGTTGTTGTTATTGTTGTTATTTTCGTTGGAGTCGTCGTTGGCGTTCAACGGCAGCAGCAACGGCGGCAGGCAGCCAGCCCCATGACATGCACATACATACATACAAATACACACAGACACAAATAAAAACACAGAAACATAGACATACATTTACGCACACACTGAGCCGGGACACAGCGACAGCGCAGTTTGGCGCTCGCAATAAGCGCGCAACGGTTGCGACGCCATTGCCGCCGCCACAGCGCCGCTCCAACGTTTCTGTCAGCCGCCCACATTCGACGCCCGCTGCTGTACGGAACCGAACGGCAGCAGCACCAGCAGCAGCAGCAACAACAACAAAGCAAACTCAATTTCATGACTACGTTCGTCCGTTGCTGTCGCCGCGACCCACAAGGCAAAAGCATGAGTTTGTTATTGTTGTTGCTGCTGCTGCCGTTTCAGTTTGTTTTTGTTGTTTGATGATGCCTTTCTGTATATATATAATATATATATACATATATATATATGTGTGCATGTGTGTGTGCATAACACGTATATGTGTGTACGAACGTACAACTAACATGCCAGATCTGACGAGTTTTGTACTGAAAATCCACCCCGCTCTTGCACTCCCCGCGGAACAACGACTGTACGGTATTACAGAGGGGTCCTGTTTAGGGGATATGAACAATATTATGTCCCTGAACATTACTAAGAAGATCTAAGACATAAACTAGTCATCAGTTGAATTGAAGACATATCCTAAATACCGCTCTGGTTCTTTAAAAAATTATGCAATAAGTTTACCTGAAAAGAAAGTGAAAATCGGAAGATACTTATCGACACTTCAGTGACTGTACACTATTGCGTACTATTTCTCCCTCTTAGAATTTGCATATGAAAAGCTTTTCTAACGGATGTTCTCAATCGATTATGCACTTATTAGTGAACTCTAAAAGCTCCACCAAAGCTCAGATCACTTTCTTGTAAAACTCAAGTTAAGCTGCGTTTGTGTATTTGTATGTGTGTGTTCACATTTGTGAGCTTTCGGCGACAGGCTTAATACAGTTTATTTACACAGGCATTGCATACACGTGAATTTTGTAAAACTGTTGCACCTTCATTCAACGGCACACAGGCAGTTGGCATTGAGATTGCAGAAACTGAAGTTCAAGGTCATTACTTAGCATACTTATGTATGCACGTATATATATGTAATTGCATATATATTTAGCTCAGCATTCGATTTTGACACCCGCTGCTCGAAGTGATCGTCGTTCATGATGCATTGCACTGCTTCCGATGTCTAAATGCTTTTGTTGTAAAGTTCAAGCGCTGTCGCCGCTCTTATCAGTTGCTACGGCCACCGCCCTCTCTCCGCTCTCTAGCGTTCTCTTGCTCTCTATTTTCGATTCGTACTCTCCATCATTCCCTCTTCCTCTATGTGTATTTTTGCAACACGGCAACTCTTGTTGTTGTTAAATAACTTTTGCTGCCGTTTGCCTCTTCTGCTTTTCTTCAGCTTTGTTTTGAATGTTGCTGTTGTTGTTTTTGCTGTCGCTGCTGGGTCCGCCGTCGCTGCGTTGACTCGCATTTAATTTTGCCATCTCCCTTTCTCGTCTCTTCATAAGCTGCTTTGACTGCGGCCCGAGCGAACGAACAAAACGAACGGCCGCCCGTCGCTGACGTTGCCGTTGCCTTTGCCGTTGCCGTTGCCGTTGCCATTTGCCGCTGCCACTGCCACTGCCGAGCAGCATCCCAAATTGTTTCCATCGATTCAAGGCAGCAACGTTGTAGAATTTTGTGCCAGAGCCACCGCCCCCTCGGTCCACAACATCCCCAGCATCTCTTGCTGCGGCTCTTTTCCTTTTTCAAGTTGTTTTGTTGCCGTCGTCGTCGTCGTCGTTGTCGTTGTCGTCGTCTCGGCCAGCGCCACACACTTGGCCCACTCAGCTGCTGTCGCTGCTGCTGCTGCTGGCTTGCGACGACTGTAGCGAACCTACGACCAGTTCCCTTCCCAAGCACTGCGTCCCGCCCGCACAGCTCCTGCTACAGCATGTGCGTATATGTATGTGTGTGCGATTGTGTTTGTGTGGCGGACTAGCGTGGCCCAAACTAACACGTAGACGTCGACCCGCCTGCATATACATATGTATACAAGCACAGACATACACATATACATGCAGCAGTATATGTGTGTGTGTGTATGCTTGTATCTCTTCAGCTTGTGCGCGTTTTTGTTGCTTTTATTATATTTTTTCGCTTTTCTCTATGTCCCGTACTTCAGCCAACGACGGTGACGATGACGATGACGACGACGACGACGACGGCGGCGGCTACAGCGACGGCAACAGCAGCGGCAGCCAGAAAGCACCTTCCTTTTACCAGCTCCTATTGCGAATGACTGCCGCACACACCGCCAGTTCCCCGCCTCCTGATTTTAGCGCCCCCACCCAACTGAGTGAGCCGCCAGCCGCGTCCTTGTGGCCTCCCCATGCCTAGTCACCAGTTCCCATCGTCATCATCGTTGCCATCAAAAGCCCGGCAGTCAGCCCAGGGACGGCAAAGCGCGTCGCCCTCTCGCTGGCCTCCCGTTCATCTTCCCCTCTCACTCTTTTTCTCTCTCTCTCTCTCTCTCTCTTCCTCTTTTACTCTCCCTTTTCCCTCATCACCAAGTACTAGCGCCGAATGGCTGAGCGGTCGGACGGGCAAAAGCAGGGGGCAGCTGTGCGAGAGGCGTGGGGTGTGGGGCGTGGGGCGTTTGCGTGTGGCGGCGTGAAGCCGGGGGCATGGCTGTGTGCATGGGCGTGTAGAAGTTTGTATGTGTATGTATTTGTGTGCATGACTATATGTATTGTGTGAGCGCGTGTATTTGTGTCTGTGTGTGTGCGCTGTTGTTTTTGCTTTTGTCGCTTTCGTTGTTGTTGTTGTTTCTGCTGATTCTCTGCCGCTGCTGCTGCTGTGTTTGGGGTTTCGCTATCATGTTAAAGCGGCGCGGCCTACAAAGAGCGACGAAGTTGCTGGCGCAGTCACCGCTGCTGCCGCTGCCACTGCCACCGCCGCCGCTTATTTTGAGCTTTTACTGTTGTTGTTGTTGTTGTTGTGGCTGCTGCTGCTGTTGGTGTTGTTGGTGCTTTTCGCAAATCGATAAACGATGTCCGGGACGGGACTGCGGCATAGCCAAGCGCTTTGCGTGTATACCTATATACGATGCGTACATATGTATTTGTAGTACATATGTACACGCTATATACACACATGTATGTGTGTGTGTGTGTGTGTGCATGTATGCGATTGCATGTGTGCCTGTGTGTGAGGCCAAGCGGACCCAACATGTCCCGTAGCTGCTGGTCAACAGTGTTCGGATTTTTGATGCAGTTATCACTGCGCTCGAACTTGTAATACATAAACTGTACATAAAAACAAAGGAATTTGCATGCACATACACATGTGTAAATGCATCTAACTATAATGCACACTCATGAATATAGATACATAGATAGAGGTTCGCTCAAAAAAGAACACGATTGAAAGCTTACTTTTAAGTCCTTTAACAATTACTTTCTAGTATGGGAGATAATGTAATATCCTAACATACACACATACACACACATACAGGCATACATGCATACATGTATATACATATATACATCTACAGTTATAATAGTTCCACTTGTTGGAGTAAGAATTTACATTTTGTATTTGATATATTTTTGAAATGCATGTACAGTGGATATCCGATATAAAGCAAAGTCGCCAAAGTAACGTTGTGTTCTGCGGATATGTATACCTGTATTTTCATTCATAAGAAAATACAAGCACATACATGCCCAAATGCTTATGTACACTATATATATAGTAATATTATATTGTTATATATAACTACTGCATATGAGCAGTCTGATTGTTACTGTAAGCTGAATACTGAATACGTGGTAGAGATAGAGGAAGACAGAGAAAGATAGAGAGATGAAGGAAGAGAAAGATAGACGTAATACAGAAAGAGAGCGAGAGAGAGAGACAGAGATAGGATGGGAACGAGAAGGAAAAGAAGAGACATAAGTTTGCAAGAGAGGGAAAAAGATAGATAGAGAAATAGATGCTGAAAGATAGAGTTAGAGAAAGAAAGTGACTGATAGTGCAATAGATAGAGAGAGTGTTAGAGAGAGAGAGAGAGAGGGGTAGAGGAAGAGAGAAATATATATAAGTGAGAGACAGAGGAAGACAGGGGGATAGGAAAGGCAGAGAGATATTTTGGAAGGGAGCCGGTAAGGGAGGTCAAGCAAAGAGCGAATGATGTAATATTGTAAGAGGGAAAGAGAGAAAAATATACAAGAAAAGAAGTTGGCACGGAGAGAAAAAGCAAGGAAATATATATTTTTGGTTTTGTTAATGCGAAAATTCAGATCAGCTAGATATAAATGAAGTAAAAAAAAAATGAAACCCTCAATACGAAACTTATTAATTTGCAACTGAATAAAAATTGTTATGAAAATTGGCTTAGACAGCCGATTTCGATATATGTATATAGTTACGTATCTACGTATATCAAAAACATCTATTTCTTGATTTTGTCCTAAGTTCTAAACCCTTTTTTCAATTTGTCATTTATCAGAGTTAAGTCGAAATGTCGAACTTTGAATATTATCTGCAAAGTATTGCCGATGAGATACGTAATCCCAACGACCCCAGCAATTTGAACGATTTTTATGCCGTTAAGGATTATGTGTTGGACATACTGCGCCTGCAGGACTCATACTTTGGTCAAATATGCCAAAATGATATATTATTTGGTAAGCGCCAGTAAAATATTTCAATAGCAACCAGTTAATACGAGAGTCGCCCACTTCTCAGGTAGTTTTGGCCATAAAATACGTATCTACGATGACGATGAAATGGATGTTTTGATGGAGCTACGCTTTCCGGCGTACAATAGAATCAAACGGGTGCTGGACATTAATCTGCCGGGCTTTACGTTTCTAGACTTTTCGCAGGCCTGCTTCGATACTATGATAGACCGTTGCCTGGCCAACAATAAGGCCCGGCTTCTGTGTCAGTCGAAGCTAAGGAGATGGATAAATAAAATTTTTACGAATGCCTTGAACAACTATGGTAATGTGGTCCAAGGCGACTACGAGGACTACGAACTGAGCTACGTGTGGCGTGGAGAAACCTACACGATCGAAGCGGTGTCACCCTGTCGCACCTCTTCCATTGACTTTGTGCCGGCCGTAAAGTTTGTCGACTCAAAAGCTTTCTGTTGGCACGGAATACCGATGTTTTCGAGCATTCCTGGCAATATGCAACATTATACATTTATGATTAGCTATTTCAATTCAGAGAAAGGGCACTTGAATTGTTGTGGGCAAACGTTGCGAGATGTTTTGCGCCTGCTGCAGGCTTTACGAAATTCCAAGAAATTACTAAAGCTGCGCTGCACTCACTTTGTTAGCCTGGCCATTTGGTTGGCCAGGCGTGTGGGCCACCAGACTATATTTCATATGTCAGTTAGTGAGCTCTTTTTGATGGTATGTACAAAACATTTAGTTAATTGATTGATTGAGTGATTTTTCGTCCTGTCTGCGCAGCTGTTGTCCGACCTATGTGATGCCTTCTACGATGGCCATTTACGCTATGTCTGGGACCCTGACATGAATCTCCTCAGCAACTTTAAGGCTAACCAGCTATCCCAGTATCATGCCGAATTAGTGCGTGCCTACAATATACTTTATTCATATACGCATCAGCCAACTCTAAGCTTTAAACGTTGCCTCAGCCACTTTACATAGACAAAGCTAAATAGGACAAAGCTTATTTCGCGATGAAAGATTACAATTTTTATATTGTATAATTTTTTAGTTTTGGTATAATCTCTGTTCGATGTATGTAAATGTTTCTTTTAATAAAAAAATAATTTTAGATGTTGTTTTTAATCCCTGAACCCTCGCAAGGTATTTTCTATCCATATTTCCCGCCAAGATTTGAATTTTCCAAAAGACTATTGAATAAATTGGATTTTTCAGTATATTTATAAATATATAGTTAGTTGGATGATCATTCTCTTATAATTAATTGAACAGCTGAAGAGTGATGACTTTTAATAATAAATTGACACTTTAAATGATGCAAAGATGAAAACAACAACAATGAAGCTATAGCGTATTCGATTTCAGTATTTTTGTGTGCATATACTAAATGTAGGCAAAAATAGGTGATCTTAACTAAAATTTTGTGCCTTTATCCTGTATGCAACTGCATTGTCACACTGCATTTACAACAACAATTAAAAGCCCTAACGGCAATATTTCAAACAAATATTTTCATTTTCCTAAAATAGTAACTACTAATTAAAGAAAAGTGGCTCATAGTTTTCTTTTAAATTATATTCTACTATTAAGATGGGTGTTTTGGCCAATAGGCTTCAATAGCTCCACATCCTTGGGTATTTGAATTGCTTTACCTTGTTTGTCCTTAAGCTGTAGTTGAAAGAGCAATTGTACGAGAACAATTACATAATTAGCCAATGCGTTTAATATCTGAAATATAATATATTGCGTATATAGCAAATACAATTTAAATGAATTATTTGTTGAAAGTATCTAACTTAACTACACAAATATAAAAGCAATTGGAATTAATGTTTACATAAATTAAAAATCCATTAAAGTAAATTGAAGATTTTAATGAGTACATAAAATGAATCTGTTGGTTACATGTTTATACACATGAGGCTAGGCTCATATCAAGTAGCTTGGGGATATGTTGCTATGTATTCACTTTCTTAACTGATTATGTGTATACACAATGTAGCTAGAGGCTTACCAAATAGATCAGCGATATGTTGCAGGGAAAACTGGAGCCAATTCGAGCCGAATGGTTATTGTGCATGCGCCAGAGCTGAAAGGATTCGACTGCCTTTTTAAGCGTTGCGGGGTTGCCGAAGTTATTGGCAAAGTTGCTGAGCAGTTGGAGACAGTTGCGTTTCTGGAGAGGATCAGAATATTTGGCATTTGATTTAGCCCAGTTAAGAGAGAATCAGTTTTACCTCACGCTGCAGCAGGTAGCCGTAGGTGCTAATCATAAGTAATTTATAGATGTGCGCCATCAGATGCAACGATATAAATGTATACTGTGTGTCCCAGGCCTCCAAGTGGAGAACCTTCTGGCAGAGCATGTACACAAAGCACGTCATGTGCGCAAAGTCGTAGAAGACGCCAGCGCCGCTAACGTAGCCGCACACACCGTTCATCACGTCCAACAACTGGGAGCAGCGCTTGGTAAATTTAAACAGGTGATCCATGTGCTGCAGCAGCTCATCATGCGAATTGGCCTCGGTTGCCTTCTGGTACTGCTGCTCCACCAGCTTCATGATGAGACGGTAGCGTATGCGCAAGTAGTCCATTAGGGCAATGTGCATGAAGCCCACCGTGCCCAGCATGGAGGTCAGCATCGAATAACTGCTAGCAATGAGTATGGTCGACACGTAGCCGCAGCTGCAGTGCGTCGTATCGAACATCAGCGCCAGCGATGTCGCCACATACATGCAGAGCACCGTCATCGAACCGTACCAGAACTTGGAGCGCGTGCGATGATAGCGCCATTGAACATGCGTGAACTCGGCTGAGATTTGTGTGTCCAGCAGTTGCATGCTAGCCAGCAAGCCAATGTGCCTAGTGCGATTCACATCCAGGGATATGCAGTGCTCCAGGTAGGTCAAAATGCACGAGATGCATTCCCAGGTGAAGATGATCTTAACCAGCGGCGAGAGGCGACTGAACATGGCCTGCGACATTTGTGGATCACTCAGCTTCACGTAAACGCCGCCCACAAATCCACCCAGCAGGCTAACGCGCGCAGCTAGTGCATAGAGAACTCGGAGCCGTGTTGATTTGGGTCCACCCTCGCTCTGACTGTGCAGCCGAAATGTGAGGATGCCCGAATAGAAGAGCAGCCTGTACAGGCTATCGTAGCAATAGACGAAGCCATCGCCTCGCTGTGTGCTCGGTTGCTGCATGCCGTCAAGTAACTGAAGCCACCTGGCTATTGCCACACGGCCCTAAACGATTAGGCCCAGTTAATTGCTATTTGATAAGATCGCGTTTGCTTAATTGAAAACATATTTTGCCAGTTGGGGTTTATTTAGCGCCTTTACGCTTACGTACATTACATATGTCCTCTATCTAAAGCGCATTTTACTTCTAGTTGTTCTGGTTGTTGTTGTTTCTGTTGTTGTTGTTGTTTTTGTTGTTTACTGAGCAGATTTTGTTTAACTCTAGGATTTTATTCAAATATGAAATTTTTTAAACTAAATAAGTTTTTCTGGTTGTCCTTGAATGTGGATGGTGATGGGGCTACATGTCACAAGTACCCCATCTTCAGGTTCGACGTTCCTTCTTATCACCCACAGCTCCATTGCTAAATGCATGATTATGTGAATCGGGTTTCTTGCGTCGCAGCGCCTTCTGCAAGACATGCGCATCCGCTGGCTCAATGCGTTTGTAGTATTGCTCTTTGGTGTCGACGATCTCAAAGCCAAACTTCTTATAGAACTCAATGGCGCCATCGTTGTTGATTTGCACGTGCCTGCCAAGGAAGGTGTAAGGAGATACAATAAAGGAGAGCAGCACACATTTTGTAACCACTCACAGAAAGATGCTATCGAAGTTGCCATCCTTTTCGGCATAGTTTAGTATATGCTCGAACATAATAGTGCCAATGCCCAGACGACGGTACGGCGATAGGCAACCAAGTGTCATGATGTAGAGACGTCGTTTATTGTCCGTGGTATCGATGCGACAGCAGACGGCGCCCACAACAATGTCGTTGTAGTAGGCGAGCTTGGCCAATTCGCCGGCTTCCAGTACGTCGACGTAGAATTTATCATTGTAGGAGACGGGAAAGACAACCGTATTGAGCTTCTTCAGTTGCTTTATGTTATGTGGCGTAACATCGCCCAATTCGATGCTGGACCTGAAATAAAAGTTCGACCACACGATGATACATTTGTTTCTCGTACATTTTTTTAGGTTAGGGTTTCGGCGCCTTTGGCTGTGCTTTTTATGACACAGAACATAGTTCACTTACCTAGTCATATTATATGTTCACAATATTATTTATACTTTAACAATGCGCTTTGCGCTTCAATTTTTGTAGAATAATTTGTTAAATTAGAATAAAGAGGGTACTATCTTGATAAATTATTTTAACGCTGTCATCGATAGCAGATATATTTGTTATCGACAACAGAAAACAGCTGCTAAAGTGATTTAGAAGTAAGACCAATATCGAAAAATACCAAACGATTTGTTTGTTAGAAATTTCGTCACAGGGTGTATAATCGATAACTAAGAACAGACAGAGTCGTATTCTGCTAAGTCTATTGTGAAAATAGTGAGTTTAGATGAGTTTAATTTCATACGCAAAATGAATCCAAATATGAATATGATGCAAATGTCTGGGCCCTCTATGATGCAAGTCTCGCCCATGATGCAATCGTCGCCTCAGCCTATGATGCCCACCGGGCCACCCGGCCCAGTGCCAATGCAGCAGCAGCATCAGCAACAGCAGCAGCAGCAGCAACAACAACAGCAGCAACAACAACAACAACAACAAGCAGAAAAGCTGGACAACATATCGAGAGTAAAGAGCCTGTTAGGACCTCTACGAGAGTCTATGTTCCTAACTATTCGTTCCAGTGCCTTTACGCTGCAGCAAAACAATTTGGCTGACAACCTTAAACGGGATACAGGCGGCCATGGGCATGTGCCCCGATTTGACAAGCACTTGGAAGATTTCTATGCGTGCTGTGACCAAATGGAATTGCATCTCAAAACGGCGATCCAGTGCATGCAGCAGTTGACGTCGTCCCAGCATTATCTCCCCGGAGCTGTGACTGCCATGCGAATGGACAACTTTATGCAGGACAATCCCGCTGGGCCCATTCCATATCCCACTTACTTGAACACAGTTCGTGTCCATGTTCAGTCGGCAAAGGATATCCACGACACACTGATCAGTGCGGCGCAAAATATATCTCAGGCCGATTGATAATTATAGTACGATTATTTTTTTGATTATAATTGAATTAGTTTTAAGGCAAATACCTAGGAAACATTAGATTCTATATTAAAGCAAAGAGCATTATTGATATTATGCTACGTTGCATTGAGTAAATAAAATGATATTCTCATATTTGCATTCATTGATTGTTTTCATAAAAAACACCAGTTTTGGATAATTTTCTTTAAATATTGCTACTCGCAGTATGAAAAGCGCCATCTATGAATTTTGTCATAGAACTAGAAAACAAGCAGGCACGTACACATTGTTCAATTTGTCACTTATTATTATTTATTTTCTACACACTTGGTCACACCGCGGATACACTGAGGCTTGCCTTTGCGGAAATACCGCGAATATTTATTTGTGTATAGCAATTTAACATATTAAATGCGTTCATGCCAATAACTTACAAATAATGACTAGTATACGTAAGAAGAAGAACATGAAATGTGATCCTAAGGCGACCGAGCAGATGCGCAACTGGTTAACAAAGAAAAAAAACACAAATAGGTAAATCATATTGAAAATTAATATAATTTCAACCGTAAATATATTTGCCTTGCAGTGTTCCTCCAGTTCCATTCAATGTATTTAGCAAAGTAGTGGAAAACTTGCCGGACATAGCATTTCAGATACAGTGCAACGAACCCGGCTTCGCGAGCAAATCACTGGATGAGTGCGCGCTCTGGTATTACAATGCATTCTACAGTGAGCCCACAGTACGAACGAAATACGAATACAAGCTGAGATCTTGTCCACTGCGCGTCAAGCAGAAGTTACTGCAAATCAGCTCGGCTAGTTCGCCAGAGACGACTGAAGAATCGAGTGATAATGCTCGAGCTCCAACCGAAGATGGCTACGAGGTCACAGTAAACAAGTGAGTGAACGAATGGCTCAACAAATATGTCATATTTACCATATTTGCTATGTACAGATGTGGTCGCTTCCTGTTTCCCGTTTCGTTAGCCACGTTTAAGCGTTACATCGATAAGGACGAAGTTCTCAACATGATTGTACGCAAGGAGACCAAGGATAAGGCGAAGAGAGCAGAAATCTTACAAAATAAGGCTGTGTGCCAAAAGCTTTTGCGCAAGTACTATAACTCGTTCTACATCAATCCGAGCCGGCGCCACATGGAAAAATGTAAATTTGAATTGGCGCCAGTAGCACTAAGGCAGCAGCTATTTAAAATGGGCGTCCCATTGGATAAGCTAGCTGTGAACACCATGCAGAGGAAGTCAAAGTAAGAAGCGTCTGTCTACATCTGCATTTAATACTTAATGTAACCGACAGAATAAGGCGTGGCCAATCCTGTAAGGACGATGAGCTGAGTCCATTCAGTCTCTGTCTGCCTGTCCGAATGATTAACAAATCTAGGGACTTCAGATTTAAAATATACTAGCGTGTATACATCTCTATATATCACTGTTATATACAAAACATTATATATTTTGTATTGAGGATAATGGAGACTAAAGATCCCAAATTTACTACGTAGGCGCCTTTCTGAACAACATTGTATGCATGACAGCTCGAACGTTTGCAACAGATGTTTGCTTTGACGATTGAGGTATCTTCTAGTCGGGCACTACCGACTAGATCATTCCTGCTTAAATATAAATTTAACGCATCGCTGTTTTACTTGCAGCAAGTCGCGCCATCATGAAGCCCAAGTATCACCTGAAAGTCCACGGGGCAAACATTTAGTTGAAAAGACTTCCGAGCTTTCGTCAATTGTCAGCTTCAGCGAATTCGAAAAATTCATTATCAATATATTTGATATTGTGTGGATGCTAAAGTTGAATGATCCGGAATATTCTTACAAAGGATTCGAAGACTCTGCTTTTGAATATTACCTTGCCTTCTATCTAAAGCCCGAAATCCGCGAGAAATATTCATATCTAATAGCGCCCTGTACAACAGCAATCAGAGATCGCATACTTGCCTTGCCCAACCAAGAGGATAGAAAGACTTTGCTCCAAATGAAGGATCGGGGACAACGCGTGGCTTCATACCAATATGATATTACTCAGCCAACTTTACAAGCTGAATTAGTCGATGTAGTGGCAGAGGAAGATAAAGAGTAAGAGTCCAAAGAGTTCAAAATCTATGGCTACTAATAGTACATTTTCAGACTTCAATCTCCCGCTAAAACTGAAGAGGAGAATTTACTGGAGGTGGTGTCGCCTGGAGAGGAGAAACTGCCAGGGAATTTGCCACCTAGTAAAGCTTCACCGGTAAAACTGTCTGAATGTTTACCACCTATTGGGTTTAAGTTATTCAAACGCTACATCAGAAACCTGGACGACATTGTCCAACAGATGCTGACTTGCGAAGAGTTCAAAGACAGAACTGAAGATGAATGTGCTCTGGAATACTACAATAGATTCTATAGAGATCCACAAATACGTGAACGGTTCGAATACCAAGTGAGACCCTGTCCGGGTAGAATACGTGACAAATTACTATCTCTGCCTGATGAAGATGAACTATTGGTCGACGTCGTCTCAAGAGACGATGAGAGTAATATTTCAAGTACTGCTGAATGTAAAATAATAACAATTGAGGGCAAAAGTTATGAGTTCTTGATTAGTTTCGAAACATTCGTGAAGTATATAAATTATGAGGAACTTCTTGAACAACTGGCCAATGCGTACGGTATGCGAGTGGGAACAGCTAACGAATATCCATCCGATGAGCAGTTAATGAAGCGCTTTTACTATTTGTTTTATACCGAGCAGAGAATACGAATGCAATTCAAATGTCATTTCAATGCAGCTCCACTTGAGCTAAGGGATTCATTAATGCAGCTGGCTAAACCTGTAGGCGAAACAACGTAAGCAAATCTTGTTGTAATATGTCAAGTAAATGCCTAATGAATATTCAATTACAGGGCATTGGCTGAGCGATGTCAAGTTGTGGCAGCTGAAGAGGAAGCAGTGCCCAGCATAAACACAAGCATTAGGTAATTTCAAATACATAATATAAGAAAGTGTGTTTCTTAATTAGTCAAACAAATTACAGTATTGTAGAAAGGTGTGAAATTGGTACCTCCGACTGCGAACTTGATGTTGTGGAGAATCTGGGCAGGTATGAAAATAATATATCTTTCTCTTCGACCTATAATTAATTAGTACTCCTGTTATTACAGCGCTGGTGTCTTTAAGTTTCCTGTTTCATTTGACACATTTATGCGCTGTATCAACCACGAAGAACTCCTCAGGCCATTGCTACTGCGCGTCACACAGGACGAGGCCCAGTTGGCAGTTATGACGACAAGTTCTCAGCATCCTCAGTGCCAGAAGATACTGAAAAGATATTATCGTTCGTTCTATGTGCGTCCAAGCACTCGCAGCTTATACGAATATCGGTTTGCGAATGTAAGTGCTGAGCTATTGGAGAAGCTATTAGAATATGCTGTGCCGCTGGATGAGAAAGCCATGAAGCAGATGGACGACGCAGCAAACGAACTTGCCTTGGCCAACAAGAAGCTAGAGCAGGAGAAGCTCGATGAATTGATGCAAAGGCTACCTGTTACATTCAAAATTTTTGAGCGAAACATTATGAACCTAGAGGAGATTGTACAAAGCATGAAGGGTTGCGAGGAGTATAAAGACAAATCGGAAGATGAGTGTGCCCTGGAATACTACATTGCTTTCTATACGAAACCACAAATACGGGAAAAGTTTGCATATGAATTTAAACCATGTCCGGGTAAACTTCGTGAGAAGCTGCTTCAGCTGCCCGCTGGTAGCTCAGCAACTGAGTTGCTACAGTCCGGTGTAATAGAAAGCGAACAAAACGAGCTCGCTTTACGGCACTCCGAGGTGAAAGAGTCTCAGCCAAAGGAGCAATCCGAAACAATGCCTGAAACACTCGATATTGACTGCAATGCGAATCAAAGGAACATTAATAACGCTTTGGTGCAAAGCGAACGAATTCTAATAACTTTACGAGGCAACACCTATGAATTTCCTGTATCGGTTCAAACCTTTAAGCGTTACATTAACTATGATACTGTACGGATTGAGCTGGCGAATTCCTATTCGAAAAATAAGCAAAAGGTTGAAAAAATACTAAACGATGAGCGTTATGATCTAATATTGTTGCGGCGCTTCTATCACTCATTCTACATCGATCCGCGTGCTCGCCAATTGTGTAACTATAATTTCAATGCCGCACCAGCCGAACTGCAACAGAAATTGAATCAATTCGCCGTGCAGTGCAGCCCTGAGCCTTCACAGCAAACACCCGCAACATCGTCAGATACGGTTTCAGCGTGTGCTGAAGATCATACAAGGAACTCAAGTGATGTCCATACCAGTGACTCAAGTGGTGCAACCAGTGTTAGTCCGGTTGCAGAGTCAAATGTAGAGCAGCAGGCGTTGGTCGAGGCGCAACCGAACACTGACATTAAGTACCCCGTCTCGTTTAATATATTCTCCAACATTTTAAACTTGGATGAGATTGCCCGGCAAATGCAAGAGGAACCGCAGTATGCAAAAGCTACAGTCCATGATTGCATGCTCGCCTACTACGATGCTTTCTATCGCACTCCGGAGGTTCGCGATAAGTACAAATGCAACTTCAAGTCTTGTCCGGCTCTTCTAAAAGCCAAATTGCTCCAACTACCAGCAAACCCACCAACGTCCGAATGCAGTCAGCCAACGGAGCGTAGTGAAAGCATTGAGGACTCAGCTGCTTTGTATGCAGCTAGGAAAACAGAGCTTGAAAAGTAAGATTTCTTATATTTTTTTACCAAATCGATAAACAAGGTTATTTTTAAAACTTGCAGCATGGCTAGGTCAAATGTTGTTAGGTACACGCCATACAACTTGAGGTCTTATATAGAGCTTCGAACGCAGTGTACGAAGAAGCGCGAACTGTTGGTAAAACATTTTGTTGACAAGCAACACTCTGAGCTGAAACAACACTTGGAAACTGCACGGGAAAGCTTGGTGGGCGCGTCTGTACCTGAAAGAGTTCTGGCTGAGGAGAAAGGCTCTGCAGCAGAAGCGACTGCACGTGCCAAAGAGATTGCGGAATCTGGTTCAAAAAAACATATAAGCACAGCAAGATTATCCATATCTAGAACAGTCACAACAACAACGACTACTACAACAATTGAAGAAGCAGCAGAAACTATAACAAATCCAGCTTCAAAGATGGGCGGCCTGGCAAGTAAAGAGGCAATAAGCGCAGCTCAAGCTTCAAGCAAAATATCAGTAACAACTGCAAGTACCGAGACAAGCAAAACTAATAGTGTGGAAGTGGAAGTGGCCAAAACAGCTACTAGTGAACCAGAGAATAATACTAGTAGCGCGTCAACATCCAACATAATAACATCTGGAACTGCACTGAAAAAAACTGCAGCGCCAACTGCGCTGAACAGAGCTCAAGAAGTTGCAACGGCGACTAACGCAGTCAATGAAATGGTAGAAGTTCGGCATCTGAATGAAATATTTAAAGGATGCAATCCTACACAATCTGCCTTGGTCAGAGTGCCTTCCAGTGCATTGACTGCAGTGGAGGAATTCTTTGCTCAAACCGACGAGGTAAACAGACTTAAGTTTAAGAATTATGGTTAACTTAATAACCGATAATACTATTTGTTATTTTAGGTGCACAACATTAGATACCTGCTCTGCACAAGTCGTGGCCTTAAGAACACAATTTGGCGCGTGCTCTCGCATTTGAGCCTCTCGGAGTTTAAGATGTATACAAATATATATGGAGGCACAGCGTTGTATGAGGATGAGAACATTTTGCATTTGTGCTATTACTTCGTACTGAACAGGGGCAACTGGCCGGTTAACTTTTATGTGAAACTGCAACTGCTGCCTCAGCTGCTGCGGAAGAAAGGCGTTCAACTGAACGCACTTGATTTGAGCCAACTGTCACCCAAGATGCTGCATAGCTCAGATCTTTTCCGTTTCACAAATTTTGACGAAATTGTGGAACGCATTTACCATGCACGCACTGGCCAGGCAATCGAAAACTTTCAAGATCTGTTCGATGAGGCTAACAAGTTCTATGCCATGTGCTGGTCGCGGGATCAGTGGCTGTATGAAGTGCCACACATAACAGAGGAGCTGGCCCATTCAATCAATTTTACAGATCATGTACCAATAGATGAAATAAGTCCACCTTCCACATGTGAGCTGTGAATGTCTTAAAGTGCGGTTCATATGAATTAAAGCTCATCTTCTGTTTTTAGTACCGCTCTGCATGAATGAGAGCCAAGCTACCGTCGAGTCCATATCATCCCAAAGCTCACAGGAACAGGAAGAACAGAGCAATGCAACAAGTCCCACTGCGCCTGCTTCAACGACAGAAGGGACTACAGCCATGCCAGACTTGGATGCTAACGACAGTATGATTGATCTAAAATCATGTGTTAATTAATATTTACATCGTTTCAATAGTATTGCAGGCATCTGAATGTCCACCCACACAACTTAATGTGTCTCTACGGCCACCTTGTTTTGTGGACATGGAAAGTGTGTATCCCGCCTCGCAAGCAGCGGAGACCCAAAAGGATCCACTCAATCAGAGTGGTCTATCAGTTCCCGTCAAGGAGGAGCCTATCCAGTTTCTCAACATGATGCGTTTCTCTATTAATAGCAACAATTCCAGCGAAAACTTCGATTGCGAACTTATACCCTCTGAGGAACAAGTCATTAATCTGGACACTGAGGAGGAGAAACAAGCAACCGAAGACTTAGCTTGTTTTGACATAATGGATTCAATCATTGACAACGCGCCGCCTTCTGCCTGTCCAGCCAGCTCAGCTCCTACAGAGGAAGACATATATAAAAATATACTGGCAGGCGTGCATCGGCTAGACGATGAGGTGGAGACGCCCCCCAACAATATGTGGGTGCCTGCGGAGAATCAATTACCATCTGCGCAGACTGAAGAAACAATTGATACGAATGTCAAGCCCGCTCTAGCTGTGCCAGACAAACCCGTTGCGAACAAGAAACAAATGCCAGCAACCAAAAGCCAGGCTCGAAAAAGGCCACGTCTAATGGCTGACAATGTGCCACAGCTGAGGCACGAATTTCGACCCTTGCCGCTTGCAGCTGTGGTTCGCATTGAGCCATATGCCGTACAAATGATGCAGAATGTGCAAAATCAAGAAGAGGCTGCGACCTCCAACCAAGAGGAGCAGTTGCAGAATCATCCCGAATCGCGAAATGCCGTTACTGCGTCTCAAGCGCTCGCCACCGACAACACGTTGATGGAGTCGTCGGAGTTGCAACATTTGCTGGATGCACAATTCGTTAATCAGCGCAAGGTAAATGTTGTAGACCAAGTTAGTGATAGCAATAATAATGATAGGGCTGCGAGACACGAGCGCATTGTGTACCGATCTTTGGAACGATACCTTTCCTTCAGCTCGCTGACGACTGCTCAAATTAGCAGGTATCACATCAATAGCCTGTCCGTGGGCAGCCCGTACCAACAGGCATTGATCTGTGTTAATGGGAGGCACTGCAACGTCTACGGTCCGTTGCTGCATGCGTTGTTCTCGCATTGTACGGCCAGCTTGCGGGCCGATCTGGACTATTTGTTGCGAGATGTCGACGAATTCATCTATAACTGTCGCCAACAGTTGCGTCCGAATTCCACTGAGGATTTGCGTACTCGCGTCTTGTGCACCTTTATGCGAGTAGCAACTCCTTTCGCCTACTTCCGCCTGGAGTTTGAGAACGAGACGCGCGAGTGGGCCGTCTGCAGAGTCATCTGTAAACGGGAGAGGGATAAAATAAAGCCCAAATGTGATGTACAGACTGCGATACGGCCTGAAATACTGGAGCGTATGAAGAAATTGAAATTTTTGTTGCTACACCCTAATATTTAGCTATTTTGTAAAATAAATTATATTATTTATATTTTGTTGCCTTCTATATGTTTGTTTCTTTCTTTTCAGAGGCGGTGATATTATTTGTGAAGAGCAAAGTCTGCGTTCGGTTGCCATTTCAAGCGTATACAACAGTCCTTAGCAGAAAGTATGTTTATCTCAAATTTATTTGGCCGATTTTGGCAATTATAAAATTAATATATACAAAACAAAATGTTTGTATAAATTGGTAAACATGTTAAATTTGTTGAAAGGTGTTGCACGTGTGAAGCATTAAACAGAGCAATCCAAGCGTTTTTATACTTTTTATACTTATTAAATTATTAAAATTTGTGTAAAGCAATTATATATCTTGTTTTTTTTTTTTTAGTTTAGTGCGTCGAGTTTGAATTGCAGCTCAGAAGGTTTGACAGCTCTGGCGGAAAAAATACTAAATCAAAAAATACTAGGTGTTTTTAACAATTTGCCACTCAAATTGGCAAGCCCAGAGCTGCAAGTTAGAGGCTTTTGCAGAGTTGCTTTGCAATTGTTATGCCTCCTGTTAAAGTGAGGTTAGGTTAAATAAAAAGCGCGTAATTTGAATGTTCTGGAAAAATGTCTTCCTCAGCATGAAACTAAAAATTCAGTTATAATTAAGTTTATCAATTGTATCAAAAGTTGAAATTGACTTGGCAACATTTATATATGTAAAATATGTAAATGTAATAAATTCAGCTCTATTTGTATAATGTCAAGTGATGTTCTCATCAGTTGAACACATATTAATGTAATAAAACTCATTTTGATAAATGTGTGTTCCCTAAACCCTATCAACGCTACTATCTAGCACAAGCCTTTCCACATAGCAGACAGGATGACAATAAACTAACAAACGAAAGAAGAACAATTTAATTAGCGATGACATGTTGCCATTTAATTTTCTTGTAAAAAGTGTAATTAAAAATGTTGCGCTTCGCAGCTGGAGCGGCACTAGCAAGGGCTGGGGCAGCGAGGCAAAGGCCAAGCAGAGACTCTCTGTGGCATCCGTAAACAAATATACACAGGCGATCATATATCGGTTGGTCGGTGATAAATCATATTGCGGCTGCCTCTGGTGCATATTAGGCTCTAAATGACGAGATAATCTATGGTCTGCCCGTCTACAAAATGTTGCAATAAAGTGGCAATAAATTTGGAAAATACAAAACATGCTGACAATTTTCCATATAAAGGTGTGCGGGGTAGTTGCCCATGTGTTCAAGTGTGTATATATATGAACGTGTGTGCGTGTGTGTGTAAGGGAGTACGAGGTCCCGAGGACATAGTCGCCGTCACGTCAACACTTTCAACTCTTTTTGTTGTGGTTGTTGTAACTAACTATAAGCTGCCTTTTTGTTGTTCTTTATTTTCACTCGTATCCTTTCGGCAATAAAAATTCCGCTTGCTATTTATCTTGATTGTCCCTTCGCTCAAGTCCAAGTCCTTCTCAACGTTCGGGACACGGGGTCGCAGGGTCACAATTGTGGCATACATTGTATAACAGTGCCAGAGCCAGCGCCACAGCCAGAGCTCGAGCCATTGGCATGGCCCGTGGTCTGTCGCGTCGCTAGAAATTTTTTGCTTAATGAAATGTACATAAAACTAAACGAAATTAAGTTTCTGACGTGCTCGTGCCAAGAGTCCAAGAGGCCCAGCGCCCCATAACCCTTTCCGCATAGCATTTGCGTTCGCGTTTGCTGCGTGTTTATTACCAAGAACGGGGCATAAAATGCAAAACGCGTTCAGCTCTTAGCCCTATCAAATGGCACAAAATGGCCGACGCCGTGTTGCCGCCCAGTCGAAACCCTTTTCCAAGAACTTCGTACGAGTCCGAGAAGTGGTCGCTGATTTCTGTAGATTAAAGCACTTGCCTTAAGCCAGCAGCTGGCCTGTGGTATGAGGGAAAAGCTCATAAAGTCGAAATTAAATAATTTGTCTTCTTAATTTTCAAATAAATTCTTCATCATCCAAATAAAGGAAACCCCAAGCTGCAAAAACAATTGTGCGCAGCACAACCAAAAAAAAAACACTCAGCCAACCAGAAGCGTGGCGAAATCCTGACAACAACAAAACAGCCCAACCACCCAAGCACCCCCCACTCGGTCGCCCCTGCTAGGAATCAGGCAAGTGCACACTCGCAGTCGAGATGTTGCCGCGCAGGGACGTTTTATTAAATTCGACCTATGCCATGCCATGAATATGCGCGCACTGCCTGCGTTCTGGCGTCCTTATGTCCTCATCCTCATCCGCATCTTCCTTCTATGCCCATTCCTGTGCCTGTGCCGCCCTCGCGACAGTTTTCGTATTGTACTTTTTAATATGTTTGTCTGTCTGTCCGACTGTCTGTCGCCAGGCACAAATAATCGTGTACACCATTAATCCTTATTTCACGGCTTTGTTCTCATTTCCCTTGCCTGAGTTCAGCTTCAGCTACTGCTGCTGCTCCTGCTCCTGCTCCTGCTCCTGCTCCTGCTCCTGCCCTTGCAACATCCCCCACCCTGCCGCACAAGTGGCATGTAAGCGATTATCGCTCAGATAAATGTATGAGGCAGAAATACAATAAATGTAAAAATAAATAAAAGGGTGTCAATGACTTTTGATAATAGAAATGATAGTCCAAAATACTCTCACTATACGCACGCCGTTACACTGCGCGAAATGGCAATGGCAACTTATTGAAATCTTAAAATGTGCAGCACAAAATTTTTAGAGATTATTAGAGATTATTCCCTAGTTCCGATTGTGTACATACTTGATGAGGCTTAACAACCGAGTTCATCTAGATGGAATCCGCTTGAATCTTATAAGAGGCCCATGGGATATTCTTCTTTCATTCATATGTTTTTTTTTAAATCATCGCTGATTTTTATTATACTCAAATTATTAAAGTTAAGTTTCGTTTTTTTTTTATTTTAGATATTTTATTATTTTATTATTAAATTTGTTATAAAGAATTTTTCGAAAATAAGCAAAAAGCATGTAGAAATAAATAAATAAATAAATAAATAAATAAATAAATATATGTATATATATATATATATATATATATATATATATATATATATATATATATATATATATATATATGTATATAGACTGCATAACCTTTCTGAATATCTCGCCAATTCAGCTAAGAGCCGAAGCAACGAAGCTTTCGCGGTATATACGAGTCGAGCACTCCCGACTCTTACTTAATTCGGCTGACAATCGTATGCAAAGCCATTTAAGCGAGTTAAATTGGGACTAGCTTAAAAATGCATATATGAAACCTACTCTATAACGACTTTAATATCAAATCACGTTTGAAAAACAAAAAGAATTTGATAAGAATTTATGTTTGCTTAGCTTTAGATAGTCTTTTTGTTAACATGGTCCTTTAGACAATATAGTCTGCTCTCTTACAATTACCTACCTATACAGCCTTGCCATTTTCACTTGCTCAGGTTTTCTCTCAGTGCAGATGAAATCTTGTGGCAAGAAACCAATAAAGTCCAACGACAGCTTTTAGCAATCACAAAACGATTTGGAAGACACGCACAGCCAACCGAACGAGCAGGCAACCAGCCAGCCAGCCAGCCAGTCAGCCAACGAACCAAGCTGGCAAACAAGCAACAACCCCTCGACTCGCTCGTCCTTTGCTGGCAAACATCAATGTCTTGGTCCTTGCTCCTGGCCAGGGCCAGGGCCAGGGCGTGCTCTTCAATAGTTGCGCACGCTTTACGCTTGGCCTAATTGCCGGATCATCAGCATCAAGATGCTGCTGGCAAAGTCGAAGTTGCTGATGCTGATGCTGATGCTGATAATGATTAAGTTGTGCATGATGATGACGATGATGATGATGATTCTGGTCCTGCTCGGAATGTTGGACTTTTCGACATATACAAATTTTTCGGGGGCGCTGCGCAAAATGAAAAATGACAACATTGCCAGGGTCGAGTGACGACCGCACGCATTTCCCAAAAGCTGGGGCAGCGGCAGAGGCAGCAGCAGAGGCAGTGGCATGACTTTGACTGTGTCCTGTGTGCGTGATCCTTTCTGCATCCTTTTGATGATGCTGAGGGTGCGAAACGTTTGAATGCGAAATTAAATGATAAAAGATAGCAAGGACATACGCACACAAAGCGTATGTTTCAGCCAGGAAGGAGGGCGCTCTGAATGGGCAATATCAACCCCCACTCAGCCCTCGCCCATGGCCCGCCCCTCATTTACGCGCCGTCAACGTTGAAGGTCGAGCACCTGTTTTATTAAAAAGCAAATAAGCGAATTGTGCGAAGCCAGGACACCGCAGACAACAGCGACAGACAGCCGAGGGGTATTGTTAATGTTAATGGTCGGGCGGAAGGGCGGAAGGGCGGTTGGGCGGTTGGGCGTCTGGTGCTGTCGGCCAGCTGGGCAGGGTGCGGCACATCTCGTATATATTAAGGCTCATGGACTCATGACTGTCAAGTGGTTGGCGTAGCATAATAATTGTGCATATTTGGCTTTTTAATAAAATCTAATCGTCATGGCATCAAGCGGGCCAGGGGCCAGCAGGGAGTGGATACGGCCAGTGGGTGTGCCACTCGGCAATAGAAATGGGTTTGGGTATTAAATTCGGGTGTGTGAATGGCTGTGCTCTTGCCATTAGCGGCCAAACAGGGGCAGCCTGGGCAATGAAATTTTAATTAAATTTGCCAAACACTTGCAGGTCGGAGATGTATGTGAAGTGCGGATGATATGCATTTGCTGACCCCAACAACACTGAAATCCTAGAGCAAATTCTGCGCAATGCACATGGCTCATTCCTAGGGCTAATAACGCATATCAACCGCAAACGGCTCAATGAGCAGGCACAAGCCAATTGGCAGCGGCTGCTGGACGACGAGCTCCAATGGCACGAAAAGCAACTGCAGCAGCAACTGCAACAGCAGCAGCAGCAGCAGCAGCAACTGCAACAGCAAAATTGAAAATTGACTGGCCATGGCTTTGGCTTTGGCTGTGGCTGTGGCTGTGGCTTTGGCTTCTGCGAAACGAACATGTAAGGAGCTGCGTGGAGACAAAAAGAAACCCAAGCAAATGCCGAACATGAAATTTTTTGAAATTAATTTCTGTTTCTCTTATCGCGCTGGCCACATTGGGTAAGGACGTCCAGTCGCAGTTCGAGCCAAACGACCGGATACTGCGCTAAACGTGATGATGCATTTAAGATTCTTCCGATTGGTCATTATTGCCTGGCATTTAATGCTCCTGCTGCCTCTGCTGACGGCGTTTTTGATTGATCTACTCATTGA